GGAAGAGGCCAGGAGACACATATGCAGGAATATGCCCAGTTAAGAATGCAGTCTTCATATAAAGCAGTGTGGCCCTTCAGGGACTGCGTTGTCATAAGGGGTCTTCAGACTTCAGCGTGTCCAACGGGACGTACACGGCTATTGCAAAGGTTAATTGCCGTAACCTACGGCTCAAATAAGCAACCGTGGCCTCCTGAAACTTCGTAATGATATGGCTAAGCGGTCGTTAAGCGTAATTTATAGTAAATTTCGTATTTGACGTAGCTACGATGGTATTTTTCACGTGGTGTTGAGATACAATAATAGGAAAAAAAGCAAAATAATATTACAGAGATTCGAACTTGCAAAACTACTAGAGCACCTGCCTGTATCAAACCCTGTATCAGCTACGCCTCACATCGCACTACGCGGTTGGTAAGGAGCGGCACCTCCCTCGGTCAGATCTGCTAGGAGTTTGCGCGGCGTGAAGGCCTCTGATGAAGCACATCGTAATTGTCTACCATCGGTCCCATCTCAAAATAGATTTGTCGACATATATAACTAAGAACGCCAATACCGCTGCGGTAGTTGCCATTGAGCTCGAGCGTGTCACAATTTGTGGAGCGCAATTGGACAGCTCATGTGGAGGAATTCTTGACCGGGAAAGAAAGGGCGGTATCGGGGCATTATTTTCGAACGTCACATCTATACTTTTGCTATGGCAGCAAGTATCCATGAGGATGCCCAGCCGCTCCAAAGTCGAGTGGAAGTATCGGAATTTCTTCAATAACATTGCGATTAATATTGTGTGTGAAGATGAATCGTCGTCGTGAGTAGATGAGAAGGGGGCGACTCTATAGAAGGAAGAAAGCAGCAACATGTAAGGATATCCGTAGCTGCGCGTAAACTCTGCGTAGATAGCTCACACGATCAAAACTTCTTTCAGTATCCGACTTGTTCCTCGCAGCTGCGGGCCATAGGCCTTGAACACCACGGGAATCGGAATCATGACTGTGGCGAGACAGGAGAGAAGCGTCCCCGCCCACTGTGTCCCAAGGTTCTCAAACAGCTGGGTGGAGAACAAAGGGAAGACAGCCGCGACGGCAGAACGAAGCATAATATTAGCTGCGACGGTGGAGGCTGCACTGATACAATGTCAGTTGGTGCATGAAAACGATGAATAGCGCCGGGTACCTCCATGGGTCTGAAGTGTTTCGTAACTTACAGCGGAAGGAAAGCATCAATAAGATAGTTAAAGCAAGGCAAGAAGATGCAAAGGACCCCGAAGCCGATGAAGACCCCAGCTATGACCGGGGATACCCAGTGGATGTTTTCGGTGAAGCCAGTCCATGCGAACCTGTCAAGTTCGTCAGTCCCGTAGAGATACTTACCGGGACAAACATACCAGAACAAACCGACCGGAAATATGACTGCACCAAATATTGGAGGTCCAAGCCGCCATTCCGGTACTACTTTGCCATTGTTTGTCTCCAACTTCCGGATGTAGGAACAGTGTTGGGACAGGATGAAGAGCAGAGCCAGCAAGATTCCTAGGAATAAGCCGAGAAATGGCAGTGACCTGGCGCCCATGGGCATCCCGTAAACTTGGCCGAAGACGTAGGGATATGCTTTCAGTAGCGCATACACCAGGCCGTAGATGAATGACATGTACACAGACACTAGCAGCACGATAGGCTCTGCGACGAGCATGCGGAGCGGCCTAGTAAGGTACTTCCGCATGATCGCGTCTAGATCATGTTCAACCTTTTCGTGGTCGGCATGAATCGCCCAGTTGCCAGTCTGTCGTCGCAGCCGCTGTGCCTTCCCGACCAATGTCAAAGGGGCAAACGTCTCATGCAAGAATATCAGCATACAAACAAAATCCGCAAATCCGAATATGGCCGGCAGGTATAGAGTCCAACGCCAGCCAAGATAACTCGCTGTGATGTAGTCACCAACAATGGGTGCAATGAACGGGCCACCGAACACTGTCAACGCGTAGAATTGAATGGCCATACCTCGATAGTTGTCGTTGTACATGTCTGCAAGCACCGCTGGTACCACGCAGAGCGGACTAGCTCCGAATACACCGGCAAAGAAGCGACAGGCGATTAAGGTCTGGATGTCCTTCGAGGTTGCACTTCCGATTGTGAAGATTGAAGACCCTAACAGGCCAATCCAGAGTGGCCAACGTCGACCTACAAGCTCTGAGCTGGGAGCCCAGATGAGAGGTCCGAATGCGAAGCCCAAAACGAAGAGACTTGTGCCCAAAGCAGCGACCACTCTTCCGACTCGAAACTCCTCCCTGGCTTGAGTTTCGCCTGCGGCAAAGATGGCGCTGTTCAGAGAGACCACAAATGTCCCGCTGCATGCGACGAACGATACGTAGAACCTGGTGACAGTGTCAGCACGACTTTGTCGGGCCATTCGCCGGCCGACTTACTTTCTCCATGTCGCCCAATTCTGTGGGTGCAGAGGATCGTGTGGCTCTTCGAATGTGACCACATACTCTTTACGAGATGGGATATAGCTTGGGAATCGTCTTCCACCACCCATAGAAACCGAGTTCTCTTCTGTTTGACCGCTGAAGGCATTCAAATCATCAGGAGAGTTGAGAGCCATCGTCCGTGTTGATGAGTCCCCTAGGACGAGATGATTGTTGAGTTGTCAGGGCAAAAATGTGGGCAAGGTACCGAAAAGCAGATATATTCCAGACTGATTTGACATATTTCGGTCAGGCCCCAAATTTGCTGACTGCATCATAAAATACTATGGTACGGATGTTGACCGGGAATGGCGGCGCACGGAGATGACGCATCTCAAGTCTGGCGGAGCTCTTCGACCGACACGATAGGGTTCGTAATGCTTCTGTGCCCAGCAGTCGCTCAATCTTAACTCGTGGTCTGTGAAAATTGTACTACCCGTTAGCCTTATTGTGTTGACTAGAGGGGCTTCGGATGAAGCAGGGAAATGGCGGAAGAAACGCAGAAACAGGCGGAAGTTGCGGACGATAGAAACGAACCCCAACCGCCAACATCAACTTCATCAACTTACATTAGTTTCACAGTGTGAAGGTGTCTGTAATTAGTTTACGTCTGTGGGGAGCCCTGACTCAGCGATGCAAGCGAATCTTGACGTTGGTCCTTTCATCGTGCCCGCAACATGCAGGCAAACCTCTCGACCCGTCGTTCGAACAAGCATACCGCGAGCGTAGCAGATATTGTGTATACATCTAGATTGTATTGAGACCACTGCTGACTTCATACAGCTCGTTTGGAGAGCCGCTCTGCCGTGTGGCATGCGGAGACAAATCTGAGTAGCTGGGTATCGGTCAGCCTGTAAATGCCCTCATGCACTGCGAACTTCAAGAGTTTATAGTCGCAGAACAATGAGACCGCACGAGCTCTCACGTATGAAGATAGGCGATATCGTTCGAGACAATTGCACCGTGCACTAGCCCAACTCTTTGCAACTACTTTTACCCGGCTCGACCATTACAGTCTGAACATGTCATGATCACTAGTGACGTCACATCGGCAGTCGAACACTGCGTGTGGCATTTGATAGATCTTGACGAGGTTAACTTGCTTAGCCGTATTTAAAACACTAGGATGCGGTACAGTTCTTGTTTCCGATTGGACGTTGCTGCACAGATACCTGTCTGGCAATCGCAGCCGTATGTCTGGTGCATCTGAGTTGGCCAATGGACAGATGTAGAAATGTAGTGTGAAGCACAAGCACGGTGCGACAGCCGCATTCTTCGTTCGGACCAAACCTTGACAACAAGTACCGCGCAACACTATGACAGTGTGACGAAATCGAACGCTGTCGAGGTCGCTGAGGTGGCTCGAAAAGACCTGGCTAGACGACAAACTATACTGGCTGTGATGCAATGAATGTTGAAGAACCGGGTTGGTTTACAATAGGTAGTGTTCACCCAAGCGCCCGAGATCGTTGCCGAAGGTGTGAGAAGACTAGCAAATGATCCCCGGTTGAACATTGAGACCACGTTTCGTCATACAACCGGATGAAATTCGACCGACGCAGAGAACTTGAAGCTTCAAGACTTATCAGTATATGTATTGCATACTCTAGTGACATTTAGAGCTGCAGACCGAAATCGATCCCGGAGCCAAGCATATCTGGATGGGCCATGAACTCGTTAAACCACCAGGACTCTTGCAAAACATCAGCATCTAGAAGAGCATCCTGGTTTTGTGGCAACTCAGTGTCCACAAACGGATACAGACTTAGCATGTTGGTATGGTTCTGGACCTCGGTCTCTCTCCGCTTTCGATGCAGTTGAAGAAAGGTACGGGCCGCAGTCACTGCCTCCCGTGTTGCCTCTGTTGGGTATCCCTCGTTGACCGCTATGATACATGATAAGGCTTCGCCTAGGAGTCCGAATGACTGCGGGGTATCCATGGCGAGTAACATGCATAGCAGCTGAAAAGGTATGTTTGCCACATGGTGCCACGGCAGCCCGCGAGCGATTGCTGAGTGGACAGCTCGAATGCTCTTTTGCATCATATTGAACACATTATGCATGACCCGGTCTGGAACGTCTGATTTGGCGGAGTGGATTCGTCTGTAAATGCAAAGAGTGAGGTTGCACTGGGCTAAAACAGAAGGTGGCTCAGTGTGATCTCTCCTCAGAACTTCCACGAGTGTTGCAAGGAGGCTCTCGGAGCTGAGTTTGTTTGTTGGATCCAGAACTTCGGAGTATGGTAGAAGACCCAGCAGCTCCGCTGTGTACTCTCCTGGCTTCTCGAACAACGGAAATGCATCCAGCGTAGGCAACACAACACGACTCCGCCCTAGATCATAAGATAGCCATATATTCAGATGTTGCGCCACGCCGCAAAGGTTTGTTTGGATGTCAGGAACATCTTGAGGCTCGTGTATTGACACGGGAAGACTGCTGGTACCGATGCGATTGATGGATATCGTAGCATCGATCACATGCAATGTATTGCAGCTGGCCATCCAAGCCTCTTCTGGCTTTGCAGTTAGGCGGAGATAGACGGTCCGCAACAACCAAGCAATAGCTAGATGTTTCGAAGGAGCGCCTGTGATCGATGGATCTAGAAGGCGCTTTGCAAGGGCAACGAGGGTCTGCTCGGTCGCCGAATCCTGCGAATTGGAGAAGAGGCAGGCGATGGCGGCTACGCCAGAGAGCATGGCATCTTTCGCATCAGATCGACTCCGTCCGTTCCAAGTATTCGATATACTGCGAAGTAACGACTCCTTGTCAACGAATCCATAGCATGGGTGGAACTTCTCCAAGTAGATGTCAGCTAGATGCTGCATGTCCACTTCCGACAGAACATTTGACAGTAGTTCCGCATGTGTGGACAAAACAGCCTGTCTCTCCCCGAGAAACAGGTTCCATCCCAGCATCCGTATCGGAGAAACGCTACTACTGGAGGAATTCAGTGACACGGTAAGGAGGCGTACAAAAGCTGCGCCGGAGTTGCTTTCCACAGACCGCAAGTAGCAGGGCGGACCTTGTTCAATTTGTCTTCGAGGTTCTTCCACGAGCCGCTCTAGGCTTTGCTCAATGTCATCTTGGTGCCGATCTGGGAGCATCTCATGTTGATGCTGGCGCTCTAGGAGGCGTGAAGGTGTCTGTGCGGAGATCGACGGGCTTCCTTCTTGCGTAGCAACTGTTACCGACCTACTCGTCACTCTCTGGCTTCGTCGGCTACGGGGGGCTGAACGGTACACACACTCGTACCCATAACCAAGGCACATGTTGCAGGGACGGCTGCCATCGCATTTTCGTTTGCGCTCTCGGCAGGGGTCACAAGCTATGCGCTGCCGCTGCCGTTGCGTCTGTCTTCTTGCAACATTCATTGTCTGCCGGTAATACTCATTAGCGGTATTGAGTCCGTACTGTACACCGATGGTCAGGGTGGGTGAAGCTGCGGCTCTGGCGGAAATAAATGACATGGGGCGGGCGCTACGGTACCGTGTCCGTGCGCGTGATGCGCGGATTCGCGTGATGCGCCGAACCACCTTAATGAGCACCTGCAAAAATGAAGCTATAGAGCCGCATACAATAGCTATTATCACGAGATTTTGTGGTGGATTGCTCCATAGACCTTTGCGACAATATTCTCTCATACAAATTAATTATATAGAGTTGCTGTTCGGCCGCTGCGCGTGGTGTGGGTGCGAGGTGCTGCAGGAGGCTCAGCAGCATCAACCCCACGCGCAGCACCCACAGTGCGACGCTTCTTTGATATTTTTGCTGCAGGAGCTGCTGAAGCTTTGCGCTTGCCTCTTTGGGGCAATTGTACAGTTTTTTCAGCGTCGCAAGCTTGCTTATCGCGCTCTCTTTGAGCCTTGCGTTCAGCTGCTTCCTTGGCCTTCTTAGCTCCGACTTGCTCACGCTCATCCTTCTCTCTTGCCCGCTGCTCACGCCTCTCCTGAGCAATCCTCTCATTGTACAGCTTATTAGCTTGCCTGAACTTCTTCTTCTCTGCTTTTCTATGTTCTTCTGCTCTCTGATTCTGTTGTTTTGCCCTCTCGTCAGAGCGTGCTCTCTCTACTCTGCTGGGAGAGTAGAACTCAGCCCCACCGTGATAGTCCTTGCGAGGCTGGAACTGAAGAACTTTGCTCTCATTCTTGTGCTTCTTCTGAGTCTTAAGCGCCTCTTTAAGACCCTGATTCTCGTGGTGGAGGAGCTGATTTTGAATTGATATATGGTGGAGCGAGCGGCTGATCTTCCTCAGCTCCTGACTAGTCTCTTCCTTCTCTTCCTTGACTACCTTCCGCAACAGAGTCTCTATTTTGAGCCAGTCCTTGCCAGAATAGACTGAAGAAGAGCTTGTGCTGCTGTCAGAGGCCTCAGGGGTACTCTTGGCAAAGCGTTGGAGGATGACGTTAGGCTGAAGGGGTGATATATCCGTTGCCTTGAAGGACCTGAGTATCAGCTCTGGAGTAAACGTGTTCGTCCAGGCCTTCCAGAACAGGTGGAAGAAGTCGCTCTTCTTGATCACTGATAGGCCCTGGCCACTGTGAAGGTGTGTTGTAAGCTCCTTTGAGTACGCCGTTGACAGAGGCTTAAACATTACTTTGTCAAGCAGCTGCAGCGTGTGAGTTAAATGAGGAGGAAGGATAGCTAGGAGTATCCTGTTCTGATCGCAGTATTTGATAGAGTCTATTGTCACATGAGATCCGTGGCCGTCAACAATCAATAGGCGGTACTTTCTTCGAGCTTTGGCCTTGGTGAAGCGATTAAACACCTGTTTAAGCCAAGCTAGGCCTATCTCGTTGTTAGTCCAGCCTGAAGGCGACGAGGAAACAAGCACAGAGTGTTCCCCTGGCTTGATTTCATCTACCTAGCTTGATTGGATGGTGTTGTTGGCGGACTTGTAGATGAGGCCTGGGGGCAGAGCTGATCCATCGCCGCACACACACGCTATGAGCGTCAACCAGGCACAATTGCCATCTTGAAGTGATGCTTTGACCTCCTTTTTCTCCCACATACGCCTGCTAAACACGTGTTTTGTTCTTAAGCTGACCCCAATCATGAAGCCCTTCTCATCCATATTGTACGTGTGCTCAGCGTTAATCTTGTATTCGGCAATCTTGCGTTGTAGTAGGTTGAAGTATAGCTCATATTTGGTATAGGAATCGGCGTTGTGGCGATTGGCGTCCATACCTGTTGAGTATTGAGAGATAAGATGGATAGAGTACTTGTTGATGAAGCGGGTAACCCAGCTCTCGCTCACTGGCTCCTGGGCGACTGCTGACGCGAAATTGGCTATCATCTCTCTTGTAGGAGGTATATGACGAGCAGTAAGCTCTTCTATATATCGTACAAGCTCCTCCTCTTGTTGTAGGGTGAGCTTTTGTTGTGCAAGAACCTTCTCTTTGTGCGGACGCGTCTCACCCCTCCACGTGCGCGTCAACGTTGACTGCACAATACCATGCTTTTCTGCTATTTTAGACCATGGAATAGCATCTTCAGATACAAAAGTATCACACTCTGCAAGCGCTTCTTCTAATCCTATTGCGTTGCGTTGTTGTAGAGCTGAGATAATAGAGCTGTTTTGGTGGTTCGGCGCATCACGCGAATCCGCGCATCACGCGCACGGACACGGTACTGTGTCTGTGCACCCAACGATTGGAGTCAACCAACGATCAGGGCACAACGTTTGCAGTAGATTTTAACGCGTAAAAGCTTAACTACTATAACAGGACTTTCAGATGCGCTTGCAGAGATTAATAATCTAAAGCTAGGCAACATACTTGTATATACAAAGCTTGTAGAAAAACACAGTGTTAATCACAATACGTTGTCCTGTGCGCACTAAGGTGTGCAGGCTCCCTAACGCGTCGCTAACAAGAACTAACAGAAACTTAGCAACTAGTTAACAGGAATTAGATCTAGTCAAGTATATAGAGGAGCTGTCAGCGTGTTACTTACTACCTACAAGGCGTATAGTACAAAATTTTGCATCCTCTGTTGTCTTACAGCCCTGCTCTAATAGCTAGGTTCAGCGCTTCCTGCACCATCACCGCAATTAGCTCACGTCCTAATGGGCTACCAGCATAGACTCTAATTGCTATAACACTATATCAGCGTACAAATACAAGTTGTACTTTAAGCTTCTGTAGTAGAAGATTACTTAATATAACATTGCGCTAGAGAACACATATAATATAGATGAGAAGGGCTTTGCAATTAGAGTGCTAGGTAGAACAAAATAGGTGTTTAGCAAGCATTAATATAAGAAGGAGGTTAGGCAGGCTTGTTAAGATGGCTCACGTGAGTGGGTGAGCCTCCTAGCTGCAATCTGCGCTGATAGTACTGCTCTTCTACCTAGCATTATCTTTGCGTTAAAAAACTCCACCCTCTAGAGCTGCTGGGTGGTAGAAATCCAGGCAGGAAAGCACTCAACCTATGTTGCCTCATCGCCCTCAGGATGGACAAACAACGATATTGGACTAGCTTGGCTTGAGCAGGTGTTTAACTGTTACTCTAAGCCTACAGTAAGGCGCGGTTAAGGTACTGTGTCACGGTTAAGAGGCACTTACTCAAGGGAGTAAAAGGTTGACCTTTTGCTCCGCGACATACTGCCTCTTAATTGTAGATGGCCCACGGGAGTTATCTGACGCCAGATTTTATTAATATGTAATGTATATTTCGATAGATGCGCCTAGTAGTATTGCGCTTTCTATTAAAAAAATAATTACCTAATTTGGCCTACTATTAACTAAGTTATTGAGCCTACCTAGCAAAAGCCTACCTAGGATGGGTATGCTCGCTAGGTATCCCCCCCTTGTTTTACTGTCTTTTAGATTTAGCAGCTGTAATATAAGAGCTACAAGGAAAAGCTATATAAGGAAAATAAACTACATGTGAGTTAATTCTCTTTAAAACAAGCCCTTATTTGCCTAAGTTGGTCTAGTATTAGCTAAGTTAGGGGGGGGTACCCAAACAGGACTTTAGAGCATACCCATCCGCCAGCCTAGCAGGCACTGCCCGGTGGGCAAGTGCACTTACCTCAGAGCTGAGAGCTTGAACAACACAACATCACAACACGACAACAGATAACAATACACTTGTTGATCACAGTCTCCGACCGACACTGCTCACGCAGCTACATATAGCTACGTGAAGCCGACGAAAAAATATGTTGTTCAACATGCTATAGGCTTACCGCTCATTTGCACTACCGCTGTAGCTTCTCAGTTCTTGCTATCAATATCACACATTCTTTCAAAGGCGACTTCATCAGCTACGTTACTAGATCAGAGGACCTAGAATACAACTTCAGCGCAGCCTAAGTGCTTGAAGTAGATTCCGCGCTTTTACAGAGGACAGAGGAATACTACACTTGCGGTGTTTTCAGCTGGAGCGAGACGAATCCGGTCACTGATCGAATTCAAGCGCTTCTTCTCGTTCTGCAAGCCGTCGTGCTTCCGAGCCACTGGTATGTTGACCCTGACTCTCGAGAGACTATCCGCTTTTGCATCAATAGGCCCGATCTTCAGGTCATCCACCGGTTAAAATGCTTGGTGCAATTGTTCAGCAAGCAAGTTCAAGGAGAAATGGTGGTACACGAATACCTGAGTGGGGTTAGACGCAGAGTACAAACGAAATGGGCGTAGTTTGCATACTTTTCAATGAAGCGCGTCCTTCGTTACTAACAAGGGTACTCATTGACAGTTCTTCATGACATTACCCACGTATTCTGGTGAGCGATGCGTAGAAGGTAGATGAAGAGCGGCTTTGTGATGAAGTCAATGACCCAATGCAAGAATTCAGTGGACGAATGGCGAGAGGCCGAAGTGAAACGAAATAACCCGCCCAGAGTATCAACAATCTAGATGACATGCAGCTGAGATGCTTCTCTGCAAATTGCAGAGATACAGGAACTCGAACATAAGTACAGACAGATGTCGGAGCGGTCTCTTGCGACAAGAGAGAGAAGGTACTACGTGTTATCGTCTTTGCTGCTTCCTTACTGCCTTTGCCGTGTCGTTATCTACTAACGTCTATCTGCGCGTTATCTTCTACTTATGTGTCAGTTGTGGTGACAGCAAAGGAAGTGGAGGAGCCCATATCAACACTTCGCTTCTCCTTGCTTCATTCGAATCCCCGTAAGTCCCCATGAAACCACCACTGCAATAGCAGCTTTTACCTAGCAATATCACTTAAAGCCACAAACGCAATTCACACAGCGTACAGCGGCGACAGCCGAAACGAGACCATAAGTCTCAACAAATCCGGCCACGTGTGACAAGCCATGTGAGCACGCTGAGACTGTTCCGCATCAAGAAACACAGCTCTGCTGTAGACTGACTCAGCATCCGCACGCCATCAAGAAGAAGTCTCGGAGTCCTGGCGGCCTGAGTCGGAACCAGCGGAGAGGATGTTACGCATTCAGCACTTTGCTTTGACGTGCCGCCAGCTGTACCGGGAGTGCATGCCGCTCTGTCTAGATACGGAGACCCTCAACATCTACACTTTGCGCGTAATCCACTAGAAGACAATACCAGATCACTACGCATATCTTGACGTCTGTTCGCGAGCGGTAGAACCACAGGCCATGCAGCCATATCATTTAAAAGCTATCAAAGAGAAAGATCTGCTATTCCCAATCTACTGCCGTCCAATAGCAGGCAACCCGGCTGATGCAGCTGACGGGAAGTATGATCCAGTATTCGCCGCTCCCCAGATTGGTGACCCTTCAAATCTTCAAACCACCGCAGATCGATGCCGTTCCTGATCTCGATCCACACAAACCTCTGCGGGATACGCTCACCTACTCACTCATTCATCAGGCACAACAAACGCTCTCCGCCTCGCCGGCCTGCCGTCTCCCCGGCATCATTCACAGCATCATCGTCCTCGCGCTCGCGCTCGCGCTTGACGCCGGTAGTCTTCCCTGAATGCTGTGAGACGTCAGCATTTCCCTTACGCGCCAGCGCGGTACAGTGCGCGTACCATAATCTTCTCCAGGCTAGCGATGAGCTGATCACGACCCATATTCGCCAGTCTCTGCGCACTTAGTGGGTCTCCAGGTTCAGCTGTGGGCGAGCGCTCCGGCGAGAGCGAGCGTGGAATAACGCCCAGGGACTTGAAAGCGCCTGTGTTCCGTGTCAGTCTTGTCTCCGGCGTCGATGGGGCGACGTACGTGTAGACCGGTAGAAGAACGTGTATGCCGCAAACAGCACTTTCTCGACCTCTGGCATGCGGAACTCAGAGCTAAGCAAGGGCTGCGGCTGTGTCAAGCTGTGGTTGTTTGTCAAGTCTGACCGCGTGTGACGTTGATACCGCACTAAGCTTGATGCGTTAGCACGTCGCCGCACACTGGAGCGCATTTCTGGCTGACTTTCTCGTTCATAGGGGCGAGCTGGTCGAGGTCCTGGCGCAGGATGCGTAGGGCATCTGTTCTAGATTCGCGGGCCACGCGGTAGAGATAGACTCTGATGGTGCCGACGCCTCTCAATTTGAGTTGGATACCCTCGGTTGGGTGGGTTTTGTCGTCTATTGATGTTAGCCGCTGTGGAAAGGCGCGCAAAGGTGCGTGACAGACCGATTTCTGGCTCAGGGAAGCGGAGCTTTTGTGTGACGGTCTGCTCTTTGTCACTGGACATCACCATAACGTACTTGTACTCTTTGAATCGTCTTTGTCGCCTGTCTCTCTGAGCAGCGCTGATAAATAGTTGTTGTCAATGTATAGGTCCGTGTGTACTTGTAAGGTTACATCTAAGGGCTGTCTGAACATTGTTCGCACTGAGAACTCAGTTCCGCAGGGCAGCTCGAGGTACTTGTTGGTTGATTTGGTGTCGGCGTCGTCATCAGCGTTTGTGGCGTTTTCGTTGTCGTACTCGTACTCGTACTCCGGCAATGCTACGTTGTCGACTTTGACGGTGACCTCAAGGCCTGGAATAGCTGGTGTGATTGCCATAGTGATGTATGCGAGTTCTGTGGTCCAAGGGCGGTGCTGGTGCTTAGTCGAACCTTGTCAAAGGATAAGAATTGTCTATATGGTGACGTATTGCTAAACGGCGTTTGGCGCGCGCTGAATTGGAGGCAATTGAGAGAACACCTTAAAAGGTGAGAGAAGGCGAGGAGAGCAAGACTCTATTGCAGTACCTAAGTAGTAAGGTAATGCCGTAATTAGGTGGATATACAGTATCGTTTTCTCGTTGCAATCCCACTGCGCGCCGAGGAGTAGTTAAAAAACGCCGGCGAAATCATGCGCAAGACTATAGGTATTCAAAGATCCGTGGCGACAGTAGCAGCTCAGGTGAGATCAATTGCCTCGGTGCCGTCCTCATCAACAGTGGTACGGTAGTGCTCGCGGTGTCTCTTGCTGGCAGACACAAAGCTGACTTCATCGCTGCTGTCATCCGTGTACGTACTGCTCCGCGCTCGCGCATGCTCTCGCTTGACTCCGCGCTCCTGCTTGACGGGTTGAGATGCTTCATCACGCACCTGGAGGTTGTTAGCGTACCCGTGAAGTGTTTTTCCGTGATTGTGCATACCCGCTGCTGGCAGAGCACCTCGCGCATTTCCTCGGCGGTCAATGTATCGATGTCTCGCTGCTCGAGAGGCACCGGACTGGGGGTTCGCGGGATGATCAGAAGCGATTTAAGCACATCTGTGCGTGGCGTTAGTGTCAGAAGGTAGCATCCAGAGATCCACTGCTTACCCCGAGAGCGATACTTGAAGGTGTACGTAGCGAATGGCTCTCTTTCCGGGTCGAGGAACTCACGGCTGGCTTGCGAAGCTGCATTCCCTGATACTTGTGGGGCTCGAAGACTGGGTGATCAGCTCGGCACTCGGTGGCTACAAGTGTTTCGGGCCAACTCACGAGGTCTGATGGGACAGCATGCAACCTTTTAGTGCTTTTTCGGGTATCTTGCCTACCTCTTTCAGTCTGTTGCTGAGAGAATGATCCACCGTGGTCAATGTCTGGAGATTCTTGACGAACCAAGCTTTCACGGTGATCTCGCCCATGCCTTTGAGGTCTTTTATGAGCTGGTGGTCCATGCGGGTGCAGATCCAGCATCGTCTAGAGTCAATCAGTCAGCTTAGTACTCTGGGTACCTCCCGGCTGGGAGATCAACGTACCGACATCGAGTGCTGCGAACGCGAATTTGTGCACAAATTCTTGGCCGTTGACCACTGTCCTAGCTCCTTCCATGAGGTAGATGTAGGCCGGGCGCTTGTACAACTCCTGCTTGCAGTACCTTCCGCCGACCTTCTTCTGATCCAGCCAATACTCAAAGAGGATAGTCGCCGGTGGCCATGGCGACGAAATCTTCCACTGCACCGCAAACTCCGCACCAGATACGGCTTCGATATACTTGGAGGCCACAGTGTCGCTTTTTTTCCGCGTCATCATCATCGAATTCAGGCAGCGGGGCTCCGTTGCATGCTATATTGATCTTGATGCCAGGTTCAGACGGCAGGATTGCCATGGTGAACGCGCTGCGATTGTGATGGGCACAATCGATCCTGGACCTCGCCAGAGACGGTTGAAAGCGGAAGGCTGAAAGATCACCGGTGGCTAGGATGAGGGGAAAGGCTGCATGAACGCGCAAGGATGAGACACGCGGTTGAGCAAACAATGAAAGTGGGGTAAACGCGCTATCACGTGTTTCACTTTCACTGAATGATTGCCTCCCACCAAGCCAGCAAGCACGATGAGCGATGCAGATGTGATGACCAACTCTTTCATTCCCTAACGCTTTTCATTCTGTGACGTCCTCCACAGTCCGATTACACACGCCCTGGCCAACGCAGCCGCGCGCTGTCGAACGCCCAAAACAAACAACTCTATCTGGTATCCCCGGGGTAAAAAGCCACCCAACCATTTGTTTAAACAGTAACAATAGCAAAACATGCACCAAAGGAGGTTGGCTGAGACCCAATACCTCTAAGATCGCAGCCCGTACGCCGGGTGTAACAAAGGAAAAACCGAACCGCCTGCTGCTGTGTGGTGGTATGTGTGTGGAGAAAGAAAACGCTATGCAAATCGTGAATGTGGAAGCCTGCCTCAATGCAAGTGATGATGTGTCTGAGAAGGCGGTGATGATGCAACAGAGACGATGCGAGGCGACGATGTGTCAGGGCACACGAAGGCTCTGGCAAAGCGCGGCTTTCAGCTGTCGAAGAAGTGACCGTCAGTCTCGCTCGAGCAAGAGACGCTTTCTTCGTAACGGCAAGAAGGCCCTGGACGATGTCAACATCTACCAGGCTCCAATGCTTGCAGAAGAGCCGATACCATAGCTGCCGTTCAGCAGCTGCTGTCGAATAGACATGGCATCGGCTTGACCTCCCGCAGCAGTCGCCGACGTCTCTGCAGCCATCCAGCCCAGGCCGCCTCGAAGCTCATTGACGGCCTCTTGCATTTTTCCGCCCGAGACGTCGTTGTGCTTCGCAATCTTCTGGTCCCAGCCGCCGTACAGCAGCTGCATGCCTCCTGCCTTCTTAGCTGCTTCGCGGATGACCATCGCCCAAGCCTTCGCCATCTCCTCATATGCCTCTTCCTTGTGACGGTTGTGCTGGTAGGTGTCCCAGTTGGGCAGGCGGTGGATGACGTCGGTAGCTCCGTCAAGGAAGGCGAGCGATGTGGCAGCTTGCTGTTCGTGTGGCGGGAGGAAGTGTGGTGTGAAGTCCTTCATTGCTTCGAGCAGCTCGAGGAGCTGTTGTCGTACCCGGTTGTATGCGTAGTCAGACGACTGGCTGCCGCCAAAGGGGAAAGCTGCCTGGAACTCCGACTCGTACTTGGACAGCACTTCCAGTGTCGACTGTATGCTGGGACGGGGTGCTGTTGTGACGACCTCGTTGCCAATGTCTGGGTGGCGCTGGCAGATGGACTGCAGCAGGTTGCGCATCTCATCTGGGGAGAGAGTCTCGAGAAGGCGGGGTAGAGGAAGGGCACGGCCAGAGATGTTGGAACGCATACGTTTCTGTATCGAGCGAGGCAGCGGTCGTGAGGATATGGCGGGCGAGCTGGACGGCGACTGAGACATGCGCTCGTCCTCGATATCCTCATCGGCTTTCCGCTTACGGCCAGACATGGCGGAGGAGGGCGAAAGGACTGCAGTGGTACTGTTAGTAGGTGTGCAATGGCGGTGGTAGATGCTGCAGTGACGTGGGTGGCGGGCAGACATACTGTTGCGGATGGGCGAGTAGCGGTTGTGCAGCTGGTGTGGAGCGGAGGGGAAGTTTTGATTGATGTCACACATGGCGGCCGCCCCGGCAAACGATGCGAAGTTGCGCTGGCTGCGTGGTGTGCAGTCGGTTCGAGAAGCGTGGAGCGTGAATCGGTAGCGGTGGAATGTCGTGGGGGGTGCGGTTTGTGGCGGGCGATGTTGGTTGGGCGTGTGTTGTTGTTCAAAGAGGAAGACGAATGTCAAGCAAGCCAGTCCAGAGAGTGGGTCCACGGCTCAGAACCGCCCATGCGTCACTGCGGCCAATCACGCCGCCTGTCAGAGCCGAGACGCTTCCAGCACAGCAACGACAAGACATCACGGTGCAGAGTGAAAAGTGCGCAGTGTATCGAGGAACAGCATATCGGGGGATCCTTCACCGCAAAATGTCGGCGGTGGCAGACCTAGTAGATTCTATTCACATACCGCTTGCACCGCAACGCCTTTTGATCTGCGCGGCGATTGATCCTCGCGCGCCTGAGACACTGGTATGCTCCTGTGGCGTCGAAGTCTACCATGCACCACCGGACGCAGCGCCAGAGGGCGTACCAAACATACCTGAAGAACGTCAAAATGCTATACAATTCTCATGTCGTCGCCGCAAAAGTCAATACGAAACTAAGCTGTTGCCTTAATCAGAGGTACAGGGACTGTGCGGCGACCAAGTCGCGGCGGACAAGCTCGAGCGCTGCTGTGAACTTTTGCTCGAGCTCCTCGCTGCCCATGACTTTGGAGGCCTGAGCGATTTGTCGCAGCAGCTCCTCGAGTCGGCGGAACAGGCGGATTAAGCTGCCTTCGTAGACGTCGGTCATTTTGCTGCAAACGCATTAGTGCATGTCGTTCGACGTGGGTAGGGATCAACGTACCATATTTGAGCGAACGTCGCGCCCTTGGACCATGCGTATACGACATCCATGAGCTCGTACTTGAACGTCTTGAGATACTCCTCCTCGTTGACTGTGAGCTTGCTCTCTTGCGAGATCTTTGCGATGACCCTCGCTTGCTGCTGAATCTCGCGGTACGGCTTGGCCAGGTCCTCCTTTAGCGCCGGAACCTCACTACTCTTCTCCTCGAAAATAAAGCAGCTCAGGCATGCAGCGCATTGTTCGGGAGTAAGCTCATTGAAGAAGCGGTTGAACAGCAGTTCGCTGAGGACGAGCTCGTCACCGGTGCTGATCTCGCAGGCAACACGAGCCTTGAGCTGGACGACGTCGGCATCATCGATGAAGCCTAGGCGGCGCAGCACGCGCTTCCTGCTCTTCAATTCATCGAGCTGGGCCACAGACAATGCATCGGCGATGTCCTTCTTGATTTTCTTGATCTTGTCTGAAATCGCCACCTTATCTGCGTACTGGCTGTACAGCTCTGGTAACATTGGCGAGTTGTGCAGAGGGTTCGATAGCAGTCGAGATTCCAAGACTTCGATTTTCTGTGGTCGTTAGTAAAGGCGTCGGTGATTGCAAAGTGGCTTCTTACCCTCAACAGTCGCTTGAAGCTGTCGTCTGTGATCTTCATGTTCTCGATAGGGTCCAAGATAGCGATGCCGTCAGGGAAGCGCTTCTTGACTTCGTCCAGCGCCTTGCGCACGCTATTCTTCTGCTCCGTAGATTTCAGTTCGTTCGGTAAGAAGACACGGAGATGTCCTATCGACTCGATGCAGCTCAGCAGCACTGGTACAACCTCCATCTTGCCCTTCTCGCCGTCCGCCGGTGGTCGCACGCCCGGTGGCAGACCATCATTCGCCTGTGGCGCGAACTTGCTGTCACTCGCAACTGATAGGAGGACATCGACAACGTACGACTCCTGTGGCTGTAAGATCTCGCCCTTATTTGCTCTCCTCGGTGTGAAAGCAACGACTGCGCCCCAGCCGAAGTCGTAGTCCTTGAACTTGATCTTGACCAATCTGCCGGCTTGCAAGAACTGCAGGCAGTAGTTGGGGTGCATGATGACATCGCGCATGTCTTTAGTGTGAGTATCAAGCTGCTGTCGCAAGTTGTAATAGTCCTTGACGGTTGCCTCATCGGTGATGACGGTATTGGTCTTCTGGCTCTCGAGCTCTGCTAGCTGCTTCTCCAGAGTCGAAACACCAGCTGTGTTCTGGAACTGGAAGAAGCAACGCTCGAGCATGAACTCTGGCGAGATACCTTCAACACGCATCAAGTTCAGAACCATATTGTAGCCCAGGTGGAAGGCAGAATTCAGGTTGTCCTGCTGTCCGCGAACAATCTCCTTTGCAACGGATGGGTCCATCTGCTCGTCGATCATCATGATGACAATACCACGGTCATCGAGACCACGACGACCAGCGCGGCCGGACATCTGAATAAACTCGGAGGGTGTCACCCATCTCTGCGACACACCGTCGAATTTGCGGACACTTGTGAAGACGACTGTCTTGGCCGGCATGTTCAGACCGATGGAGAAGGTCTCTGTGGCGAAGAGGACCTTGATCAGACCCTCCTGGAACAGAATTTCAATGGTCTCCTTCAGGATAGGGAGCAGACCAGAGTGGTGGACTCCGATACCTCTCCGCAGCAAAGGAAGGATGTGCTGGATCTGAGGCAACGAGCGATCCTCTTCTGACAGCATCTCGATAGCACTGCTGAAGACCTTTGAGACCATAGCTTTCTCGGAGTCGTCGTTGAACGAAAGCTGGCTCATGGACAGAGCGTAGTTTTCGCAGTCTCTCTTGCTGAAACTGAAGACGATGACGGGATTGTAGCTCTTGATCATGATCATCTTGACGATCTTGTAGATGTCGGAGCCCTCCTTGTTGCCGCCAGTATTTGTCTTCTTGTCCTTGCCTTTGCCCTTGCGCTTGGCCAGGAAGTCGTTGGCTGCCGATCCTGCCTTGTCGGCGATCGAAGTCATGGCCTTCTGGAAGTTCTCCTCGCGGAAGACGCCCTTCTCGTCGACAATCAGGTGGATCCCGTCAGCGCCCTTGGGGAAGAAGTAGTGCTGCAGAGGGGTCGGTCGGAAGTCAGTGTAGACAACGTGGCATGGCTGGCTGTGCGTCTTGGTGATCCATTCGGCGAACTGCATTGCGTTGGGGATTGTGGCGGACAGGAAGACGTAGCGGACCTTATCGGGCAGCAGAATGATGGTCTCCTCCCAGACCACACCACGCGACTTGTCACGCAGGTAGTGGACCTCGTCGAAGACGACCCAGGCGACCTCGCGCATGATCTCGGAGCCGCGATACAGCATGGATCGCAGAATCTCGGTGGTCATGACCAGACAGGTCGCTGTGGGGTTGATGGTGACATCGCCGGTCATGAGTCCGACGTCGCCAAACTCTGCCATGAACTCTCGGTACTTTTGGTTGCTGAGGGCCTTGATGGGACTCGTGTAGATGACTCGCTGGTTGTTCTTCAGACACTGCGCAATGGCGTACTCGGCCACGACCGTCTTTCCCGCAGATGTATGCGCCGAAACGAGCACGCTCTCGTTCCGTTGGATTGACGAGATCGAGACTTGCTGGAAGGGGTCGAGTGCGAAGGGCCAGACGCGGGCAGGCTCGGCGGGTGCTTTGTGCTCGGAGATGGGGACGTAGTCGTAGTCGGGCGGCAGGGAGACCTGGTGGCGGACCTGATGCGACAGCACCACGCCCTGGCCGTCCGGCACTGTCTGCGCCTGCAGTCCCGCCGAGGCAGCAACCTCGCGCTTCTGCTCCACCTCGTAGTCGTCGGTGATGATGGCCTCGGGCTCGGCGTCGCGCTTCTGTCGCTTCAGCGTCTGCGGCACGGTGCTCTCGGGCGCGTTCTCCTCGGACTGCTCGCTGCCCGCCACCGGCGCATCCAACATGGGCGCGTCTGCGACTGGCGACTTGACGACGCCATTCGCCTGGCGCTTCTTGCTTTTCTTGGGGGCCGACTGCGCGCCGTTGTCGCCGTCGAAGACATCGAAGAGGTCGTCCATGGTGCCGAGTCTCTGATAGTTCGCGTTCACGTGATGGGTGAGTGCAGTGACCTTCCTGGTGTGCAAGTTCGGAGCCTGACGAGGCGCGGGGCGGTCGTGGTGCGGCGAGCGAAACGATGCCCTCGACTATTTACTACTGGGATGAAGATCGCAAAAAGTTGATGCGGGCGGCGCGCGACAGCTGGGGCGTGTCGGTGCGTCGGGGCTTGCCTGCCTTGGCGCGCGAGAGCTGCTGCCGCAACCTCGTCAAACCGCACCGCTCCACCAGCAACGACACCTCTCCGCTCTGCCGCAACGCCAAAGTACGCCCGACTCCGCGCCAATTGCTCTCTCCGCTGACGCCCCAAGATGCTCGCCCGTGCTACCTTCCGCGCCGCTTCGGCCCCCACCCACGTCGCCCGCCGCGGCTTCCAGTCGACCCGCGCCCAGATGTCGTCCCCCTACCACTACCCCGAGGGTCCCCGCAGCAACTTGCCTTTCGACCCGCTGAAGAAGGGCTTCGCCTTCAAGTACTGGGGCTTCATGGGTGAGCTTGGGGCGCCTGCGAACAGGTGACGTGACACGGCTAACGGCTGCAGCTACCGGCTTCTCCCTGCCCTTCCTCCTGGCTGGTAAGCTATCACTTGCAACTGCAGCTCGAACGTGCCGAACGCTAACTGCGACTCCTCTACAGTCTGGCAGACAAAGAAGAACAAGCCGTAAATGCATTCGTTCGAATTGTGGACATGGCTTGAGGGCACTGGGAGACGTGGGACATTGTAGTATAAGTGAAGATCCCGGCGACAACTGCACTAGACACAACAGCATCAATTTCATTGCCTGTCACTACAGCAGCTGTTCTCAAACACGTGGCTGTCGCTGCAGCGGCACTGCTACGCTTGCATACCGGTACTTCGTGATGATGCAGTCTTGGCACGAGGCCACACTAGCGTGAGTCGTACCTTCGAAAATTGTTTGATTTGCACCATCTTGCCAGGCGAATTGGTAGGTCGCCAAAGTCACAAAATACGAAAAAGATGCGAAACCTCAAGATCGTGGGGAGGTCGCTCCTCCAATTTTCTGGGGAGAACCCGCTGCCCCTCACTGCGACAGCATGGGATGCTGCGTCGAATTCGCTGATATGCGCCTTTGGCCCATCTGAGTCACGTGCAGCCATCGAGCTCAAGAGATTGCACTACACACGCAGCGGCATCGAGGACCGACTTGAGAGCGTAGCTGCATGGGACGCACCGTGTCCGCTACCGTCACTTCCACATGACTCAGTTCTGAGCCTACACCACTTTGCGGACACAACGACATCATGCCTCATCCTGGCCGGCGGCGACATCATCCTGGTTCGCGAAAGTCCACTTGCAAATGAGGAGCTTGTTGAGATTGTGGGTTCCGTTGATGCTGGAATCGCGGCAGCAGCGTGGTCACCGGACGAGGAACTCCTTGCCATTACCACCCAGGCGGACACATTGCTCCTGATGAGCCGGGATATCGAGAACATCGCAAGCATTACGCTCGCACCGGAGGATGTCAACGTCTCGAGTCACGTATCTGTTGGCTGGGGAAAGAAAGAGACGCAGTTCAAAGGGAAGCGGGCAAGAGCATTGCAGGACCCTACCGTACCTGAGCACATCGACGAAGGCAAGCTGAGTCCGTTCGATGACCGATCCGTCACTATCAGCTGGCGAGGAGATGGCGCCTACTTTGCGCTTACCAAGGTCGAACAGGAGCAGCGCCGCATGATCAGAGTGTACTCGAGAGAGGGGCAACTGGACAGTGTGAGCGAACCTGTTGACGGGCTCGAGGGTGCTCTTAGCTGGCGGCCTTCCGGAAACCTCATCGCCAGTGTACGTCGCTCCAGTGACAAACTCGAAGTTGTCTTTTTCGAGCGCAACGGTCTTCGCCACGGTCAATTCGACCTACGCTTTACCCCGGAAGAGCTCACAGCTTTGGTCGGCCCCCTGACCGTCAAGTGGAACAGTGATTCAAGCGTATTGGCGGTGTCATACCCAGACAAAGTACAGCTCTGGACGATGAGCAACTACCACTACTACCTGAAACAAGAGCTTGTTTTTCCTGACATCGCCACACGAACAGCCTTGTGCACATGGCACGCTGAACGACCACTGGCTGTCGCTGTATCCACTCCAAGTACGAGTCTAATCCGAACGTGAGAGCTGCGTCGCTGACTCCATATTCAGGCGCTCTGCAGATCGCTGAACTCTTATCCGCCACAGCATCTGGCTCGGTGGCTCCTCCCCACGACTACGGTCTTGTTGCATCGATTGATGGGTGTGAGTAATAATGTTTCGTAGCAACTGGCCCCCTGCTAATCCACATAGTGTCTCTTAAGCTCACACCACTGAGAGTCGCCAATGTGCCACCGCCTATGGCGTTTTGTACAGTATCTCTGGATCGTAAGCCCACCGACGTCGCACTATCCAGGTCTGGCACAAGGCTTGCAGTGCTCTCGGACAATCACCTTGCCGTCTTCGGGCTCGATGTGACAAAGCGACCCATGTCAAGGCCAACCCTTCTGTGGCAGAGCGATGCACTCGAGGGTCAATCGGCACGCCATGTCACCTTCATCGATGACGACCAGTTGTATGTATTGACTGACAGCTGGATCGATGATGAAAGCTCCATATGGAGAAGCGAAGGACAACTGCTTCTGCCGCAAGGACCCATCGTGGACGCAGAAGGTGTTTCACTGCTTACAGGTGATGTCGACTACCGAAGTCTTTACGTGCAGTTGCAGAGTGGCGCACTGCTGCAAGTGGATACAAATGATGTGACTTCTGACCTGCCACCTCAGACTACCTTGACACAAAAATTCCCGGCTTTTGCGCCTGAGTCCAAGATTACGAGCATCGATGGACAGGTAGGTCGCTCTTTCTCAGGACCGCATCAATCATTAACACGTCCAGCGTATTGCCTTTGGGCTTACCAAGAGCGGCGTGCTATTTGCTAACGAGCGTGTGCTCGTCCGCAATTGCACCTCGTTCGTAGTAACACCAGCCCATCTCATCTTCACAACGACGCAACACCTTCTCAAGTTTGTGCATTTGACCAGTGTAAATGGTAAATTTGCAGAGCCTTGCATGGAGTCACCCTTCTAACCTCAATTAGAACTCGAAGTACCAGGAGACGAGCCACAAACAGACGAGCGCTGCCGAAGTATCGAGCGTGGTGCGAAAATTGTTACCGTCATGCCTACAACCTTCTCGGTGGTACTGCAAATGCCGCGAGGCAATCTCGAAACCATCTTTCCTCGAGCTCTTGTACTAGCGGCGATACGGCGCAGCATTGAGGCGGATCAGTACAGCGATGCGTTCTTTGCATGCAGAAACCAGCGCGTGGATATGAATATCATACACGACCACGATCCTGAACGTTTCATGAGGAGCATTGAATTGATCGTCAACCAGATAAAGAAGGTTGAGCTCCTTGATTTACTCTTGTCGCAACTTCGGTAAGTTTGATCTTGTAATCAACGTCGAAACAAGCTGACAATACCAGTAATGAGGACGTGTCAGAGACAATGTATCGGGAGACACTGAAGACGAAGGACCTTGTGAACAAGTCAAGGCTTTCGCAAGATCAGGTCGCGAACAAGGTCAACCGTATCTCAGATGCTTTCCTTGTGGTCTTGGAGCAGCCGCAGTACAAGGACGAGCACCTCCAGAACATCATCACGTCGCACGTGTCAAAAGTACCGCCTGCTTTGGAAGCTGGCCTCGAGATGATCGGTAGGCTACAGTCATCGCAAGACCCTCTCACAGACAAAGCTGCCGAGCATATATGCTTCCTTGCAGACGTCAATCAGCTCTATGATACAGCACTGGGGCTTTACAACCTAGACTTGGCTCTTCTAATTGCGCAGCAGTCGCAGAAAGATCCCCGAGAGTACCTTCCGCATCTTCAGTCGCTCCAAGATCTTCCCGACATTCGACGGAAGTTTCAGATCGACGATCAACTTGGTCGTCATGCCAAAGCTCTCACGCATCTCAAAGAACTTCAGGCGTTTGACGAAGCGCAAGACTACATCCAGCAACACGTTCTGTACATTGATGCGTTGGTCATGTACCAGTACGATGCTGCGCAGGTGAAGAAAATCATGCGCCTCTACGCCGACTATCTCAGCAGCACAAACAAGCACAAGGAAGCTGCCCTTGCGTACGAATACCTTTCAGATCACGCCTCGGCTTGGCTCAGCTATCGCTCCGTCAATCTCTGGCGCGAGGCTCTCTCTTCAGCAACACTGGCCGGCGCCTCAGACGAAGAGCTCACAGATCTCGCTTCCTCGCTTGCCGAAGGTTTGACAGAGTCGAAGGACTACCACTCAGCCGCCACTATCACACTCGACTACCTCTCCGATCTACCCGCTGCAGCAAGGCTGATGTGTCGTGGGCACCACTTTGCAGAGGCTACACGCCTCGTAGTTCTGCGACGGGATCCCTCCCTGATCGAATCTGTCATCGACCCCTCTCTCATCGAGCGTAGCGCCGACATGACCGAGTTCCTAGCTGACATGCGTTCTCAACTACACGCCCAAGTGCCTCGCTTGCAGGAACTCCGTACCAAGAAAGCAGACGACCCTATGGCCTTCTACGACGGCATGGACGGCGTTGACAACAACATCCCAGACAACATCTCCCTCGCGCCCACCGACACAACTAGTGGCGGCACATTCATGACGCGTTACACAAAGCAGACCGGCACTGTGAACACGACGGCCACACGTAAGACGAGCAAGAACAAGCGCCGCGAAGAGCGCAAGCGCGCCAAGGGAAAGAAAGGCACAATCTACGAGGAAGAATATCTCACGAATTCGATCGAGCGTCTTATCGAGCGCATCAATAGCATGCAAGACGAGATCCAGCGCCTGGTCGAGGGCCTGGTGAAGAGGGGCATGAGGGAGCGCGCTGGCGCTGTTAGCCGCGCGCATCAGGATGTTGTGGAGAAGTGCAGCGATGCGGTTAGGGAGATGTACCCTGTTGATCCCGAGGCTGCGAAGAAGGTAGAGAGTGGTATGGACGATGGCGTTCAGGGCATCGATGGGGTGGTCAAGCCGACAGGGGGTGATGCGACGCTCTGGGAGAGCTTGCAGGAAGTCGAGAGGAAGAGAGTTGCTCCGGTTGTCAAGGGGGTTGAAATACTGAGTCTATTGTGAGGGAACGCGGTTGAGCTCAGTCGCGTGTGGTGGTTACTTCAGATGGTTGCAGGAAGCAGCCACGGACGAATTGGGACGATCCCTACACAAGCAGTGCTAACATTCGCATTCGCTTTACGACAATTTACTTTACAGCTCGGTTCCGTATTCATAGTCGCCGTGCTGCCCTACGCTGCGAGTAATGCCGCAAGTCACTTTGCAATCTGTCTCTTACAATACGAAACGCACTCAACAAGCACTCCCTTACAGCTCATTCTCTAGGAACCATAACATCTCGCATTCACGTCCGGGTCATCGCGCCACACGCTCGGCTGCATGCACGACGCATGCACAAGACTAGAAGAAATGGCTGTAAGCCAAAGCGTGGAGGAGATGCGCGTCACACAGCCGCGTTCAGGGTACCCCACAGCTGTCAACAACCAATCAAGTGGGACCCATTAAACTCGGATTGATTTGATTGATTGGTTGACCACCCGTTCCAGCCTAGCCGTTACCCGCATGAGTTTAATCCCTACCCTGCAGGGTAAGCGCGTGAATATGAGGTCAAAATTGACTTCATCGTTGACAAGGCTGGCCCCGCGATTAATCGACAAAGTATTCTTCGCGTCATACATCAGCGCTGTTTCGAACGAGTAACGACGACGGCGCTCGAGCTCCAGAAGACGACTGGTGTTGGTGTCGCGAATCTTGTCCGCGGAAGCAGCCGGCGGATGCAGCGAAGTCATCTGGCCGAATAGGCTAGAGCATAGCCGGCGAGCTACAGTTCATCATTGATCAAAGGCATCATCGTGATTGGTCTCGGTTCAAGCTACCGTCTCGACCTGCGGGACACTTGCAGATCACGATCCAGGCACAGCAAATGGTGGAGCAGAGCTTCCCAGCTCCAGGTCATCTACATCTCTACACGTCGACCCGCCACATTCTCAGCCGCCGTTCGTGCGCGCACTGAGAAACCACATCACGATCCCACCTGGTAGGGTCTTCCAGTCTCACGCTTCGTCCCAATCCCGAATGAGCAGAAACGGCGAGGCAGAGCTCATAGAGGACTTCACTGGTGTGGTGTTTCTCATCACTATCTAGGCTAGGAACTTTGTTGAAGAACTTCAGCTGTCTGGATCCTTTCCTCGAATTATACAGTCCAGGTAACTACCTTGCATCCCAGTCGACTATACCATTGAGGACACCAAATGTCGTATCGCGGACGACCAAGCAAAGGGTGTGAGCCTTGCCGAGCTCGTAAGGTCAAGGTAGGTGACTATCGACCACCCTTCTTGCTATCTGCTGGTCGCTATTCTGCCCCCGACCTGCTTGCCAGTCACCACCCAGATGGACGGCTGTATAGAGGGCATCGCTTGCTGAAGATGCGCTGACACGTGCGACCTAGTGCGATGAGACGAAACCGGCCTGCAACCGATGCACCAAGTCAAACCACGAGTGCAAGTATCGCGACCAGGCAGACCTTCTCTTTCGGAATCAGACTGCGTTCGCTGCCCAGCGAGCTGAAGACTCGTGGAGGAAACGATCAAGATGTCATCAACGAACACTGAGTGGGAGCGGCGACAATCAAGGGCCGCCTCCCATTGACAGCAACCTGCCGATCGAGCGTGCTCGCCAGCCTTCTATCAGCGGGCCACAACACCAGTCACCGACTATCTACGAAGGGCACACTGATCTGCTCGATGCAGCTGCTGCCATCTCCACATTCGACAGCCTATCCATATCTCCAGGACTCAACCCGGATCTATGCCAAATAGCTTACGAGCGGTTTCTGTACGACTTTGTCATAGACGAGTCGCCAAATCATCCTGTCAACGAGCCGTCTGATGCTCTATGGAGCTTCATCCCCGCGCTGTATGGAAAGGTTGCAGAAGACTCATGCGTGGCGAATGTAGTCAACGCTGTTGCTTACATCAACTTTGCAAATCGATGCAATGCACCGCAGGCTGAAGCGATGGGAGAGGAGGCATTGGGGAGAGCCATGGTGATGCTCTCAAAGATGCTTGCGGACAAAACGCAAGCAAGATCTGACGAGTCACTGTGCTCTGTGTATCTGATGGGTATGTACGAGGTACGGCTTCTCTCGTTTGCTCGACCCAACGGCTAACGACCAGCAGAACATCAGCTCTCAACAACGGCAAGGGACCTACATCGCCCATTCGAATGGGGCAACCGCCTTAATTAACATGCGATCCATTGATCAATTCTATGCGAATCCCGTCTCTGCTAGACTATACGAGGTATCATATTCCCAGATGGTAACGTATCCCCCATTTTTCTTTTAGTCTATCGACGCTTTCATGCAGCTGAGTTTTGGCACAGCTACTTGGTAAACTACATGCCGCGAAGCCACCACCACTGCCTGTCAACGACGCGACCGACGTGAGGAAGCATTTGTCTAGCCTGTACAGCCCATCAGGTATATTCGTGATGCAGCCGATACACAGGGAAGCACAACTTCACGCCAAGTGGCACGAGATCAAGCAGAGTGCGAACCCTCCAACTACACGCAGAGATCTCGCCGAGCTTTTGCAAGCCGCTCTTGACCTGGACAAGCTATATCGGGCCTGGGAAATGGATATACCCCAGCTCTGGCGGTATCAGATGGTACCAAACACACCAGAAGTCCGAGCGACCTACGACGGCAGATGGCAGCGGCTCTTTCTGAGCAGTCGCGGCGCGCCGGAAGAGATCCACTCTTACCCCAACCTGAAGATGTGCTGGGTATGGGGGTTCTACCGCACCAGCCACATATTCCTCCTGCGCGACCTGCTCGAGATGCTCAACTGGATGTTCCGACTCCCGGACGCAGATCCAGTCAAAACCGGGCCGCTGTCGTCCGACTTCGCCAGCCCGTTCCCGCTCGACGACGAGGTCGCCCCCATTGCATTCGACAGCGCCGCACTGCGCCGTCACCACTCCACCGCCACCGTGCAGCTCATCACCGTCATCGAGAAGAGCTGCTCCGCCATCCTCGGCACCTTCACCGTGCCTGTGTATGGAAAGTCGTTCGACGACGTCATGGGCATGCGCGGCTACATCAGCCTCTGGCCCCTGGGCATTATGGACGCCGTGCTGAGCTCAGGACTGGTCCCGGACTCGCGCGCTCCCAGCCCGCCGCAGCCGCAGCCGCAGACACAGACACAGACACAGACACAGACGCAGACACAGACAAAGATGCAGACACAGACACAGATGCAGACACAGACACAGACACAGACACAGACGCACGCGCCCCTCCCAGACATGCTGACGCAGAGTACGCCCCAACCATACCGCACACCGCTGTACCAAGGCCGCAGCCCAGAAAGCATCAAGCAGAAAGCAGAATTCTACCCGCTGCTGCCCTCGGCGCCACACTTGCGGCACGCCTTCTCAGGGGCGCTCTACGGCGCATGTCCAGCGACCACGCCCGTGTACGACCCCGCGGCACCCAAGACGCACAGTTTCGACTCGTCGGCCCCGCACCCGTTCGACCACCCCGTCTGTCTGCCGCCGCTCGAGGCCGAGGCGGCCGCGCCGCGCGGCATCGATGTCGCGGCCCGCAGAGAGTGGGTGAATGCTGTGCTGTACTATGGAGCTGCGCATCTGGGGATCAAGAGGGGGCTGTATGTCCCGCTTACCGAGGGGTTGTTGCCGGTTGTGTGGGGGAGGGTGGATGCTGCGATGGGCGGGGGCGGGGGTGGGGGGTGTTGAAGTGTGGACATTGTACAGTAGTGACGAGCGCGATGGAGTCGTCGGGGAGAAGTATGTCTGCAATTCCATTGCGCTGCATACTAAACGGTTCAAGCGCATCCATTCGACTAGGCGGCAACTTCCCTCCCCCCCACCACCTCAACCAGATCTGCAACCCCCCTCTGCCGTCCAATAGCGACCTTCTGCACCCTCTCGCTCCCCACGGCCTCGCCCTCATCCGCGCCCTCGCTCTCCGCGACGCTGTCCCGCGGCACCTGCGACAGATCCATGCGCATGCTGTACGCGTCCTCGCCGTCGGCGTAGTACTTTGCCTCGACCTTTTCGACGCTGAACCCGAGTGTTTCGCGGTAGAGATGCAGCGCTGCCGTGTTGGATTTGCGCACGTGCAGCGAGACGTAGGATGCATCGAATGTCTCGGCCATTGCGCGTTCTGTGTTGTTAGTACGCAATTACACATGCTGCTACACTGCACTGGAACAGAAGACTGGGTGGAATGCGTGGGATGGAATGATATGGGGGGGAAGATAGATGAAACGGACGTGTGCCCACGTGATCAGAAGAGAAAAGACGTACGGCTCTGGCGCATCAGCTTCTCGGCCAGTCCCAGACGGCGGTGGGTGCGCATGACGGACAGCGAGGTGATGTGGCCGTGGGGCACGCCGTCGGCAGGCTCTTCTTCCATTTTGGCGAGCACGTAGCCGACGATCTTGGGCGGGTCGTAGGGCGACTTTTGCGGGCGCGAGACCTGGGTTGTCAGCTGGGTCGTGACGGAGGGGGGGCGAGAGGGGTGTGGTGTGGTTTTTGGGGTTGGATGGAGCTATCTTGTGATAGTCCCTCTCTTCATTCATGCAAATGATTCACTCCGCACCCACTGCACACTCTGGCGAACAGACTTACATCGACAGCCACGTAGCTCAACTGCGGCCAGCTCATGGCATGGTAGAGGTAGTACTTGCAAAAGTAGTTCTCGGGCAGATTCGTAATGTTGGCGAGCTGGACGTGGGGGATGTCGCTGGGGCGCAGGAGGCGGATGTCCATTTTCGCAAATCTCCTTTTCTTTCTCTTCTCTTTTCTTTCTGTTTTGTTTTCTGTGTTTGGGGTAAGGGGACGGTGTTTCGTTCCCTTGGCGATCTGATTCGCGTTTGGTGGTGTGACGATTGGGTTAGGTGATGCGGCGTATGGTGGTGACGGTTCCGACTCGGAAACTCGGGTGTGCGTTACGTCAGCGAGCCTGGCCAATCAGAACGGCGGGCGACCAACAAAGTTGTGAGGACCACAAAGTTGTGAGGACCAACAAAGTTGTGAGGACCACAAAGTCGTGAGGACCAACAAAGTTGTGAGGACCACAAAGTCGTGAGGACCAACAAAGTTGTGAGGACCACAAAGTAGTGAGGACCAACAAAGTTGTGAGGACCAACACAGCTGTGAGGACGACCAGCACCAACAAAGTTGTAAGGACGACCAGCACCAACAAGGTCGCGAGGACGACCGTGCGATGCTTCACAGCCTTGACAGAGATATAGAAAGGATGAATACGCAGGACACGCAGGTGTGAAGCGGCGCAAGTACCATTGAGATTAATCACACAGGGTAAGAGGAGTAAGTCAGATTCGAATAGAAACCAGACTGTAGGCCAGCCTTGACACATGGACAGAAAAGGAAAATCCAGACATGTGCAGGACACGGCACAACACGTCACGCAGGCAAGCAATCTAGACAATCCGGAAGCGAGCAGATCTCCAACAGCAATAAAAATGTGTATTGTATGTACATGACATCCAAGCACGGCATGCTGAACGCCCGTGGGTGAGGGTAGTCGTGGGTGGAGTCGTGGGTGAGGGTAGTCGTGGGTGGAGTCGTGGGTGTAGTCGTGGGTGGAGTCGTGGGTGGAGTCGTGAATCGTGACCTGTCTTGCGCGGAGGGGTCTGGAGTACGGTTCATGTGTAGTTGAGTGTAGTCGAGTACAGTCCAGCACTTTTAGTATTTCCAGCACTTTTAGTACTTCAAGCACTTTTAGTATTTCCAGCACTTTTAGTATTTCCAGCACCTCCAGTATTTCAAGCACCTCCAGTATTTCAAGCACTTTCAGTATTTCCAGCACTCGCAACGTCACATCAACCCGCCCAGCACCACCTTGCCGACGCCGCCAAGCTCAGTCCTCACGCCCATACGACAGCTCTCCTCAAACTCCCTCACGACGCCAGCGAGGATAATCTTGCGCACACGGGCATCGGCCTTGCCAAACAGGTCGCCGACGGTGCTGGGCAGGCCCTGCCCCGCAAGGGCGACGCTCTCGGGCGTGGCCAGCATGGCGAGCACGCGGGTGTAGCAGTCAATCAGGACGTCGCACAGCGAGGCAAACGTGGAGAAGAAGTCGGGCTCAAAGGGCAGCGACGGCGTCTGCAGGTACGTGTAGCTCTCGCCGGCGTGCAGGTCGTCCGCGGCGGGGGGCGGGTCGAGGATGCCCGGGGCGCTGGAGTCGCTGGCAAACGACGACTGCGGGGTGAGCAGCGGGAAGTCGCCCGTGGCCGACGACGAGCGCCGCGCCTTGCCGCCGAGGTTCGCGCGCTTGAACATGTGCGGGATGCGGGCGCGCGACAGGCTCGGCGCGGAGCCGTCGGTCGGGTGCAGGGACTGGTACTGCTCAAACTCGACCAGCAGGGCGTTGAGGGCGCGCAGATAGTCGGCGGGGCTGGCGGCGTGCAGGTCGAGAATGGTCGGCAGACTGAAGCCGAGGAGCAGGTACTGGGTTGCGCGGCGAGACTGGGCACGCGGCGTGAAGCTGGGCAGACGGGCGAGGTCGGACTGGGCGAAGAGCAGCGTGTTGAACCAGTATATGCGGCCCTCGTGGCTGGGGGGGGGGCGGAGGGGGGTTAGCTGGTGCGGTGTGTGTGTGTGTGTGTGGAACGGCTCGACTCACGCCTTGCGCAGATAGTCCAGGGTCGAGATGCGCTTCGAGGCCAGCTCGTGGATGTGCTGGAAGATGAGGTTGGGGTTGGCGCCGGGCGGCGCGGGGATTGGGGCCGCGGGCGCGAGGCCGGCGGTGCTCGGCTGGCGCTGGTCGCGGGGGTGGTGGTTGTCCTTGGCGGGCGGATGGCGCAGGGGGCCGGACATGGCAAAGGGCGTCTTGGGCCGGTCGGGCTGTGCCGGGTCGGGCTTGACGGGGTCGGCGGGCTTGGGCTTGTTGCGGGCAAAGGTGGCCATGGACAGGGTCGGGCGCGAGGCGGACAGGGGCGCAGACGCGGGCACCTTTTCGGGCGACAGCGAGACCGAGTGCATGGTGGAGGCGGTCGAGGCGTGCCTCCTGTGGCTGCCCGTGGCGCTGCGCAGGCTGGTGCTGCGGCTGCGGCGCAGCTCGCCGACGCTGCTGGCAATGCTGTGCCGCGCCGTGTGGGCGCGCTTCTGCGGCGGCGCGGTGTCGGGCTGGCTGGCGGGGCGGTCGGGGTGGTCGGGGTGGTCGGGGTGGCCGTGGCGGTCGGGGTGGCTGTGTTGGCCGTGTTGGCCGTGTTGGCCGTGTTGGCCGTGTTGGCCGTGTTGGCTGGCGGCGGCGGCGCTGTCTTGGGCGGTCGGGGCGCGCTGGGAGTCGGGCAGGGCGGTTTGCAGCGGCGGCGTCGACGGCGTGCGGGGTCCGTCTGCGTCCACGGCTGGGTCTGCGTCGGGGTCGGGGTCGGGGTCGACGTGCTCTGCGATGGCGGCGGGCGGCAGGACAATGGGCGACGGGGCCTTGGTGTTGGAGCGGGCGACCTTGCTCTTGCGCCGGCCGAAGACGCTGCTGAAGACGCTCGAGGGCGCAGTCTCCATGGCTCGTTCCTGCCCGGCGTGCGCACTGGAGCCCCTGCCTAGCTGTCGCACCTGGGGGCCCAGACGATGCGGGGCGTTAGCGCGATCTGTGGCCGTCGGTGCGGCCCATGTCGGGAGCGAGTGCGCCGTACTTTGTGGGCGAGAGGGACAGAACAAGGCGAGAGGGCGACAAAAAGGGCGACAAAAAAAGGCGACAAAAAAAGGCGACAAAAAAAGTCGACAAAAAAAGTCGACAAAAAAAGTCGACAGAACAAGGCGACAGACCAGCGCGACAGACCAGCGCGACACACTCGCACGTCGCCGCACACGCGCTGCTGCACGAATGGAGTAACCCGTCGGGCGCAGCGCACATTTGGCTGGCGCCCGCCAGTCCCCCCCGCCCAGCCAGTCTCAGCCAGCACGCGGACCCCTGCTGGACCCTTGGCTGCACGTCACAGCGCTGTGCAGGTTGGCCGTTTCCATCGCCGTCGCCATCGCCGTCGCCATCGCCGTCGCCGTCGCCGCCGACATTTGACGCTGAACTCCCTCCACCAACATGTCGAATCTGCAGCGCCGCCAGAGCGCAAAGGTATGCGCCCCTCGCCACGCCTCCCGCAGCACACCGCTGACCCGCCCAGGGCGAGTTCGTCCCCACCGAGGGCCAGTGGCCCGTCGACCCGCAGCACGACGTGGCCGTGTCGCAGGACCGCGTCTGGGTCGACGGCTGCTTCGACTTTGCCCACCACGGTACGCGGCGCCAGCTCGCTCGCGACCGAGACCGCCGTCGCTGACTTGCGCAGGCCACGCCGGCGCCATGCTGCAGGCCCGCCAGCTGGGCTCCGAGCTGCTCGTCGGCGTGCACTCGGACGAGGCCATTCTCGAGAACAAGGGCCCGACGGTCATGCGCCTGGCGGAGCGCGTCATGGCCGTCGAGGCCTGCCGCTGGGCCACCAAGGCCGTCCCCCACGCGCCCTACGTCACGTCGCTGCCGTGGATCTCGCACTACGGCTGCCACTTTGTCGTGCACGGCGACGACATCACCTCCGACAGCGACGGCCGCGACTGCTACCGCTACGTCAAGGCCGCCGGCCGCTTCAAGGTCGTCAAGCGCACCCCGGGCATCTCCACCACCGACCTCGTCGGCCGCATGCTGCTGTGCACCAAGTCGCACTTTATACAGTCGCTGGAGAAGCGCCTTGCGGGCGCCGAGGGCCCGGGCGGGGAGCTGGAACGGCAGAAGGAGGGCGAGGCCATGCTGCAGCGCATCAGGGACTACGCCACCGACGAGACTGGCAGGGCCCCTGGCTGCGACGTGTGGTACTGGCACGCCTCGCGGCCAGCCAAGCTGCGGCGCACCACCACCACCACCACCAACGCTCCGAACGCCCCAAACGCCGCCAGCGAGCCGCGTCCAGGCGTCGCCCGCTCGCAGACGGCCGCCAGCTCGGCCGGGCCCGTCAAGGAGGAAAAGGGCAAGTTTCACCAGCTCGTGCAGGGCAGGGGCGTCAGGCCGGGCCAGGTCGTCGTCTACGTCGACGGCGGCTGGGACCTGTTCTCCTCGGGCCACGTCGAGTTTCTGCGCAAGGTGACCGAGGCCGAGGAGACGGCCGCCCGCGCCCGCGGCTGGTACACGGACGAGGCGACGGCCGACCGCGTGTCCGCGACAGGCTCCGACTACGGGCCCGTCTTCCTGCTCGCCGGCATCCACGACGACGAGGTCATCAACCACTGGAAGGGCATCAACTACCCAATCATGAACATCCTCGAGCGCGGCCTGTGCGTGCTGCAGTGCAAGGTTCGTCTGCCCCCTCGCTCCATCTGTCTGCCCCCTCGCTCTACCCGTCTGCCCCCTCGCTCTACCCGTCCGCCCCCTCGCTCTACCCGTCTGCCCCCTCGCTCCATCTGTCCGCCCCCCGCTCCACCCGTCCGCGCTAACCGGGCCCAGTACATCCACGCCGTCGTCTTCGGCGCCCCCTTCTCCCTCTCCAACGCCTTCCTGCTGACCCTCCCCTACGGCACCCCCGCCGCCGTCTACCACGGCATCACCAAGTTCATGCCGCTGACGTACGACCCGTACGCCGCCGCCAGGGCCCTCAACCTCTACCGCGAAGTCGCCAACCACGAGTACCAGAACGTCAACGCCGCCGAGATTGTTGCCCGCATCATGAAGAGCAGGGCCCTGTACGAGGAGCGCCAGCGCAAAAAGGGCGAAAAGGGCGCCGGCGAGGAGGCCGAGAAGATCAGGCAGGACTTGGAGCGCGAGCAGAGGCGGAGAGAGGTCGAGGGCCAGTTTGGCATCTAGTAGAAGCAAACTGTCGAGTCCGAGTAGAGTGAGTCGAGTCCGAGTAGATTGAGTCGAGTCCGAGTAGAGTGAGTCGAGTCGGAAGTAGAGTTGAAGCGAGTTGGAAATAGACTTGAAGCGAGTCGTCAGTAGACGTTGATGTAGAGGTGGGGTCCAGCTTGATACATAACGCCGGTAAATATTCCTAACTCCGCGCGACCAAAGTCAACAACGACAAACATCACCGCGCAACTTTTGTACATAATCACAACATCACCACCAAACATCCCAGACTCTCATCCCAGACTCTCATCCCAGACTCTCATCCCAGACCCGCCGCACCCAACACCGACTCCAACCATCCCCATCAATCAGACCCGCAATGCCACCCCGCCCATCCACCCTCCTCGCCTCGTCACCCCCCGCGACAGAACCACCCACGAGCGAAAACCCGACCCTACCCCTCCTCGGCGCCGCAGCGCCCACGCACGGCACAAAGCGGAAGCGCACCGCCGCCGCGGAGCACACGACGCGCCCACACACCCCCGCGCCGCGCGCAGACACGGTGAGGGGGAGGGGGAACGACCCCCGGCTGTACACGCCGTGGCTCCTCCTCCCGGCGAGACAACGCGCGTACATGGAGAAAAGAGGGACGGGGGGCGTGGTGCCGGTTGTGTGGAGTAAGAACCAGAGCGTTAGGGGGGGTGTTGGCGCGCTGTTGCGTTTGCTTCGTCCCGCAGGAGACGCGGATGAAAAAGGGGAGCAAGCGGAGATAGTCGTTGTTTCCGCGCAGGCCGGGGGCACGGTCAAACTCGTTGGGATTCTGGATGTCGCGCGCCGCGTTCTCGGGGACCAGGGGGATAAGGAGGGGGAGACCAAGGGCGAGGATCGGGGGTGGTGCGTGTATACCGTGCTCTCCAGCGTGCGTGTACCGAGGCGCGAAGACGGAGACGGAGACAAACACGGAGACGGAGACAGACACGAAGACAAACACGGAGACGGGGACAAAGACGAAGCAGAAGCAAAAGGACAGACCAACACACTCCCCGTCCTGAGCGTCTGGATCAGCAGGACCAGCATACCCGGCTGGAAATCCGTCTTCGGGGAGGATCGATTGCGCGTCTCCGGGGAGGATCAATCGCGCGTCTCCGGGGAGGATCAGTCGCGCGTCTCCGGGGAGGATCAGTCGCGCGTCTCCACCCCGCGCCAGAGCTCGTAGCACAAGCGACCGCCATGTGTCGTCTCGCGAACCTTTTGCACGGATGAGCAGAGACTGAGAAAGCACATAAAGAGCGTGACGACGTTGCAACGGCAGATTCGAGGATTCTGGCTTGGATTTAGGCGGCGACACCTTTTAGGTTGTTCGTTTGCTCTCTTGCCACAGCAGTTGCCGCTCGTGTGTTCAGTCTGTTCCTCTCGTGTGTTCAGTCTGTTCCTCTCGATGCCGTTGGCATGATTCCACGAGTTCATCTGCATCACGCGAGGTCTCGCCTTCTATCTGTATGTGGCAGACACTACTGTTCGTCTATGAACACTACCTCAAGATCGGCCTCGAATAAGGAAGCGCGAATACCCTTGGTGAATGATACTCTCTCCGTCGGTGCTGATGCTGATGCCGGAACCACGACACGCTGAAGAGCTGGGAAGAAGCCTTTGGCAACTTCCAACACGTATATGAGTTTATTGCAAGGACATTCACGTTTCTACCGTCTCGCGTTGCGCGCAAAGCTCGCTGGCAAGACAACTGTCCGCGCGTGCTCGAAGCAACACTCTTGGTTCTGCAACGTCGAAACACAGTTGCCGGCAGGCTAGGAGCCACATCCAACCTACTCGACAAAGTCCACATGAACGTCCTCTATCTCGTAAAAACAGTTCGACGGCTGTTGAGTCAAAGACAAAGGCGTAGGTCCGTTAGCGTAACTCGGCGGGTAGGCGCAGGAGCGGCGATTGCTGCTGGTTTGCCACCGCACTGCAAGGACGTTGGCAAATGTGCGTCAAACAAGGATCGGAGACCAGTACGTTGCGTCGCGCTCAGTCTTGGCCGCGGTGGACACCGCGTCGTCCATGGCGATCGAGAGAGAGTGCGAGCTTTGGGAGTGGTCGATGCCGGCTGTGTGCAAGAGGAGGGCGCTGGAGAAGAGGATGAGGAATGAAATAGCAGAGTGCGCAGTGACCTACAGCTACTTTCACTTTCACTTGCCAGGTGATCACGAGGTTCTGGTGCATGCGTCCAGGGGGAAGGAGCTATGATTAAGCCCGTACGGAACACCTCACCATTCTCCCACTTTGACCATGTGTGACTATGGAAGCCAACAAATATCGTGCATCGAAATCGCTTTTGCGTTCTTGGTTACTATCTGGCGCTACAACAGCCTTCAGAAAGCGCTTTCTGCTTCTGGTTTCATTCACGCAGCCTGATTGGTCTTTAGCTTGGTCTACTTTTGAGTTGTATACCCCGCTCATTGAAGCAATACTGGAGAGCGGCTAGGAGAGCAAGATCGTCATCCCAATGTTCGGGTGCGTTGACGACGTTGAGGGCCGGGAAGAGCGATTGCGCACGCTCAGGGTATGGATCATGCTGATCAGACAGCTCATGAACAAAGTGTTGCCATTGAACAGCGCCGGCAGTCATGATGTCCAGGCTCAGTGTCCGAACGCCGCGGAACCCATGTCCGCGACGGCATCGATGCGTCCCCAGTGCCTCAGCACTCACAGTGCGAAGAGAGCAGAGTTAGGCGCACTACTAACCTCCCCTACAATGCATTCTTTGATGTACTGTAAGGAGCTGGTTTTACTGATAGAACAGCTCCTTTGTGCTCGCAGACGTCACTATAATGCACAATCTTGCTACGTTTGCATCTTGAATCTAACTGGTGTGTAAGATTCCATCCACCTGTTTACACCAGAAGCCAACAGCGCACTGTCTTCAACATTTACAACACGATTAGACACTCACGTTAATACCGCCACATTGTGTCTCTCTAGACTGGAAAGTTAGTCCTGCGTTAGTAGCCAGCTCGAGACTTTTCGCGCCGCAGTTGCTTTGGCGTGTTAGGAAATCTTACGACGTGACTCCGCAACTAGCAGGCGATCTAAAAAGAGTGTAATGTATAATAGCTAAAGCGTTTATCAATAGGTGGCGCTGTGCAGGCACCCTTCGTCACCACATCTGCCAGAGCCTCAGAGCGTTAGAGCGGCCTGTTGACTCCTGTTGACTCCTGTTAGCCGGGTCCCCCTACTAAGAAACATGCTCCCGAGTTGAAGGTACGCTAAGAAAGCACGGATAATACTTGTTCTCAACTACCTCCTAGGAAATACAGATCACTCGCTCTTCCCGAATAACGGCTGTTGCTTGGTGCGAGCAGCAATCCAACAATGGTCATTCATTTCCTGATAGTTCAGGGCCCTTTCCCTGCAATAGCAGTTCATATACTTCCTCTGCTGGGTGCCGGCAGCGTTTGTACTCTAGATGCTCTGCGCACGACAGGAGTTTGACAAAAGCAGATAAGAAGCGAAAGCTGTTGTATGCAGCAGTTTGGGTCTGCTGTTGCGGTAGACGACCCCAGAATGCTCCCTACTCACACAAGAAACGCCGTGTATGAGGACTCTCAATTGTTCTGCGTGGTGAGATTTGGCGGAGCCCACGCGCCAAGTTCTCCGCGCGCTGTCGTGCAGTCGCGTTGGCGCATCAGACGCCGTTGGCACACCCTGAATGCTACTCGCAGCTAACAATGCATGATCGAAATAGCCATCGCATGAGTCCCTGGACTGCCGAAGGAATTGTGCAAAGAGGCCCGCGCGCCATATCAAACGCCGATCGCACACCCTGACAAGCCACTCGCAGCTAATGGATGGTCAAAATAGCCATCACAGGGATCCCCTGACTCTTTGGTGCCGAAGGAACTGTACAAAGAGGCTCTGTAAGCGATTGGCAGAATGCGTGAGCTAAGTGGATACTGTAGTTTCTTAACAAAACAGCAGTGGACTCACTGCCCTTTGAAGACGCAATTATGCGCCTGCCGCGTCCAAGTTCGTGTCGTTCGATTCTTTCAACACAATCGGTACCCTGTAGGTACAGTAAACTCTCTTTGATATAATTCGGAGTGCGCTCGTGCGAGCAGTACGACTACTGTAGCAACGCTATCTGTGCATGATTGATCTCAAAGACCCTACGCCATCTTTGTGATGTGCATGCAGTCTTAACCTCTAAAGGGGCTCCGGCCTATCAGAGCTGTTGAGGTACTTGGGGTGCCAGAGTGTGAGAGTATTTTTGGGTCTACAAGTGTTTGGCAAGTCCAAGCTGTCGGAAGGTTGGTGTGTCGGGAAGTCAGAGTGGTAGTGATTCAGAGCGTCGTCGGGAGTTGGAGGGTTGGCGTACCTACAGACGCCACTGGAAAGGCTCAATGGTTGACCCAATAGAATTAGAGTTGAAGTTGGAATTAGGGTGTCGGAGCTGGAGTGTCGGAGACTGGAGTGCCCACGGAAGCCTGGAAGCCGTCACAGAGCTCAAAGCTGTAATACAGGCTTCGACGGACATTGGCGAAATTGAAGTCCATAGCTGTCGGAATAAAGATTCCGACAGAGATGACGCGCGGGACATTAGAAGTTCAGAGGGATGCGTTACCTTCCGCTGATCTTCTTCTCGAACGAGGGCCGCGCACAGCTTCCTGACGCAGGGCCTTCCGCACTGCTGCGTAAAAGCGATGTATTGACAGTCTTCTTGTGTATATATGAATATTAGTGGCAAATAAAGTTGCTCTCAACCTTCTCCAGTCTTTAGCGTTGCTACCGGTATTTGCTTACTATTACTTGCACGGTCTTAACCGAGTGCGTGTAAGTGACTGTCGCAGCAGAGATGGGGGTAGGCGGCGGATCACTCCGGATTCTTCGGTAGATTACACCGGATGATCCGGGGGCCCCAGATCAAAGGTTTAGAGTGAGCTAGTCCAGTCCCAGGTGGATGGGCTGTAACTATATAAGTCAACCGTCTTTGTGAACAGATCGGCAGAGCACTTTTACCACTTCTTACTCAATACACTCTGCCTATCAAGATCAATCAGCTTCGATGGTGACGCAGCAAGACTGGTGGTAGTCTGTATAAGCGCCACATTATCCCGACGAACAACACATCGTTCTGTTCCACGTACTTTAACATTGAGGGGTGCACGTTCTCTTATGCAAGCGCAAGCACAAGTTTCTAGGAGGTGGCTGAAGGTAAATCTTCTTTCGGCAGCTGGACTCTGATCCTGTGTTGCTCTCCATCACGCAACCGTGGACTGTTCAGGATACGACCACTTCCCCGCAGACGACGCAACCTTGACTCTAGCACCTACACTGATACTGCACTTAGGTACGTTTCTTTCTGTAATAGAGCTGCACAGCTTGCTTAATCTTCGCGTACTTATAGCCCAGGCCCAACCCAACACGGCTCTCTTGAGCGCAGGCAGCATCTATGAGCCGGACGCACTACACAATCCAGCGATGTTTCCTTGTTGTTTGCTTGCATTTCGATCGAATGCGCTGCTATCTTGGGCATATAGAGTGTTCGTGTCCGGCCAAATTTACACGAAAACCGGCTTAGGGTCTTAACGAGCCGGGATAACAAGACCTCTCCTTTAAGGTCTAGTGCTGATTAGTAAATTACGAAAGATGTCTGATGGTAGTATTCATGCCTGATCTGGTGGAACATTGATGGGAGCGCTGAGGAACGTCGAGCTAATCTTGTAAGATTACTCTTTTCGACTTCCTCGTATTGCTTTTCTTGGCAGGCAGGCGTAAAAAAGGAGCATCCTGAGTCGAAACGTAATAGTACAAGAACTGTCTCGTACTTGTCTGCACTGACTGATTTAATTCGAGACCAAGCTTCAGAGTATACTATTCTTGGTCGAACGTAGTATTCAAGATCTGCAAACCACGTTGCGACAATACCCAACGCATATCCCCTGACCTGTCTGCCTTACGAACAGACCTTGTTTGCAATGGCAGCAACGCAACATTGCGCTGAAAAATTTGGTACTATAATAATACATGTGACTAAAACTTGATTTAGGGATGGGTATCAGATGCAGGAGACGAGTGTACACGGCTGATCGACCAACAATGCAGCGCCAGTGCATTGCCCATTGTGCGTCTATACAAACAAATTGAGAGGTCACTGCACCACCAACTTGAAATCTGCTACGATTGAACTTAGTGTCTTGTTGCTTCTCCGTCACTGTTTTGAGGGATATTGTCGACATGCGTTCTCGCCCTACTCTCACGAAGACAATAGTCCTTCTCCCACTTCTCATAGCCGTCTACTACATCAGATGTCAACATACCTTCCAATGCGCTTTGAAAAATCTCCGCGTCTCCTTTGACGATCTTCCATCATCATATAGCTCCGCTCTGAATGCATCTCGAGCGCAGGGCGAGCTACTGCTCGACTTCGACTACAACACCACATTCACATCGCCCCTGATACCGCGCACCATCCACTTCATCTACTTCGCCGACCTCTATCACGGTCGCGATGGCACGCCATTGCTACCTGCCACATCCCGCTCCCGTGCTCCCGAGCTCTGTCGAAAGTACAATCCGTCCTTCGAGATCCGCATCTGGAACAAAACCGAAGCGCACACCTTCATCGAGACTGAATACCCCTGGTTCATCCCCATATACGACGCATACAGACATCCCATACAACGTGTTGATGCACTGAAGTACTTCGTGCTCTACCACTTTGGCGGTGTGTACATGGACCTCGACGTTGCCTGTCGTCGGCCCCTCGAGCCACTGCTGCAATTCCCTGCCTGGTTTCCCGAGGCAAGCCCGCTAGGGGTAAACAACGATTTGATGGCCAGCATGCCGCATCATCCGATGTTGTTGGAGATGACAAGTGCGCTGGCGCGGAGAAATCGGGATTTGTTGTTCCCGTACTTAACGGTCTTCTGGAGCACGGGGCCGCAGTTCAGTAGCGACATGCTTCGGGGCTGGTGGTGGAGGCATGCAGCCAGGATGAGCACCCGAGGTGAGTATTTGCACAACTGAAATAGTCTGCACAATAGCATTAGATACTGACTCCGTTTGCAGATACCGCAAGCTTCCGCATATTGCCGCAGATATTTTACTCGGAAGAGTACACATTCTTTGGTCATAGTCCGGGTGGTACGTGGCACGGTGGGGACGTTGCTGTTATTATATGGCTTGCTGAGAGGCCGCTGGCGCTGCTATGCATCGCTATTGGCTGTCTTGCTCTTGCATTGGGCATCATGAAGGGGATGAAGCTGAGGAAGGTCCGTCACAGACATGTTGAGGAAGCTATTCCTCGAACAGAGTAGAGTTATACTTGACAGATGCCTGAGTAAAGCTGTACACAACAGGCGCATTCACAGAAGTTCTCCATCGGTCAGACGGATCTGTGAGAGATGGTAACGTCTGTTGAGTGCAGAAGGCTGTACCTCAAAGTGGAGGCGAAGACACTCGGGATCACGACTGCCATTCTTCTCCACTCATACTTTGATCAACCAACTCTGCGACAACTGTCGCCACGATCTTCAATAGAGTGGCAGCGCATCATCGCCATAAACGACGTAGGTAGGCTTTATCCTGGCCCTCAATGCCGCTGATAGCAGTCAGTATCTAGACGAACGCCTTAGATCGCCAATCACACGCTTGCCTGATGAGTTGCGCAACATGATCTACGCGTACAATTTCGACTTCCGACTTGGCTACAGCTAAGGAGGAGCGCGAAAATTGGCGGACGGTCATTACAGCAGACGGTAATTTAATACCTGTAGTATGTGAGCAAACTTGCTATCGATATATGACTTCGTCCTATCTTCCCAGAGACCGCAGGCTTTGTGGCTCCTTTCACAGCGGTTTGATACATCAGATGCTACTATGTCCTCTCCCATGCCTTGTCAAGTGATTTCGTTCTCTTTGAAGATTTTGCTTCAGATCCTCACGTTGGGGGCTGTAAAGACGATGATACTGAGGGAGATGCTGTACGAACGTGCCGAAGAAGCAACTTCCGCACGGAGTAGTAAAGAATCTACAACTACTCAGATATATGCTGCGAGCTGGAGGAAGTCGATAGTCTCGTTGGGAACCTGTAGTGAGTCATTGTGATATGTCATTGCTGGGGTCTGCAGCTCAAGGTGAAGGCGAAATCAAGTAACCGTCAAGCTGTGGCTTTGAGATCTGGTCTGACGACCTTCTTTCCCTTCCTCAGGTTGGGTCACGCACTCATCTATAGGATCACACTTCCTGACGCGGATTTCCACCATGGCAATCGACGAAAGACTGGCTGAACATGACGCACTGTATGGACGCCTTCTTCGTTTATTTTCTGCTACTCACAGTAAATGGCACCAAGGAAAACACCTTGAACTTGCCCCTCCTACGCTTGCCCGCTGAGCGGCGCAATAAGACGCACGCGTACGCTTTCGATTCCGTGACGGCACGCCCTGTCACTGCTACCAAGTTGCGTCACATGCAGCTTCTTCGTGAAAGTACCGCTCTTCTTTTCGCTTCCCGCCAGCTTCTCTACAAAGCTCTCATATACATCAAATTTTACGCTCATCCTACCTGGGTTGGCTGTTTGAACATGAGGGATATCCACCAGACGATCGGGAGGATGACCCATGACTTTCAGACCATTAGAGCCACAGGTGAAAACTATGCGTCGAAGAAGCGAAGCACTGAGAATCCGTTCTTAATGCATCTCTACTCTGAGTTCCCGGCATTGCGCTACGTCGAAGTTCACGCGGGTTGCTCTACTTGCACGGCAAAGGGGTTGATAAGGGGATTTTGATAAGAACTTCGTCATCTGAAGGCTGAAATGTGCATTGAGGATATGAGTTCAGGAACACGCTGGATTGTGAGCAAAGAACTGAGTTAGAGCTTGATAATGGTCGGTTTTGATCTCGATGAGATATATCTGGGGCTTTGAGGACCAACCGGATGGGTTATTGATGCAGTTACTCTTGGTGGATAGGTCACGGAACAAGTGCAAAATAAGATATGCGAGTATGCGCAGGAGGACTAGATTTTTTGAAGCTCTAGCTACCCGAAAATATGTACAGGTAAGGTTGGGAAAAGAGAAAAGAAATGTGAACTGCCAGACAAATGTATGTATCTGAAGTGCAGCGTCCGCGAATGTGGCAGTGGCACAACTCTGGTGAATCATGCACGGCTGAAGCATTTGGACATCAAAGGCTGGTCAGTCGAGCCCGTCGGCGTCATAGAAAGCGTGTAAGAGGTGTCGAAAGCACCAGCAGACCAACCAATGTACCCAAGATATACGTCGCTGTTCTTGTTGAGCGAAGCGATTGCAGCGCAGACATCCGTTTCACAGGAGGCAGTGTTGCCGCCACCAATCTCAGAAAGGATAGCCTTACGCCCGTTGGTTCGGAGCCATGTAGCTAGCGGGGTGAATGTATCCGAGACATGATCGGTAACGCATTCTGCGTGTGTGCCGCTGTTGTCGGAATCCAAGTATCGGTGAACGTCAAAGATCAGCTTGCTCGTAGTGCCATCTGTGTCCTTGACAGTGAGAAGCGCTGGGCCGCTGTTCTGAACGAAAGTACCCGCAGACGTGTAGTCTGTACCAGGAAGAAGAATGTACTGCGACGTGGCACCAGCTTTGCGGATGGCAGTGACTGCAGCTTGAACGGATGCAGCCCAGGTAGTCATCGTGAGATCGTGCGGTTCGTTCATAAGTCCGAATGCGATGTTCGTCGTGGAAGCATACTTTGTAGCAAGCTTCGACCAAACATCAGCAAACTGAGCATTGGTAGGGCCACCTTGACCGACGACAGCGCCATTCCAGCGGGCATAGTTGTGAAGATCGATGATGCAGAGTGCACCAGTTGCCAGGCAGCCTTGCACCAAGGCGTCGTAAGCAGCGACCACAGTGGTATCGAGCGATCCACCAAGCTGATTGTTCACGAGGTATTGCCAGCCAATGGGCAGACGGAAGGCGTTGAGCTTGTCAGCGGTAGCAAAATGCTTCATTTGAGCAATGCCATTGTCGCCTGGGTTTGTGTATGAACCTGAGCATGATCCATCGGTAGAACAGCCAAAGTCAAATCCAGCAATATTGACACCTGCGTACTGCGTAAGTCCTGAAGATTTAACGGCTTCGACAGTGACGGCTGGAAGCGCATGCGTGGACGTCGTGGGCTTCTCCCAGGCTGTGGAGGCATGGGGTGTGCCTAGAAGTGATCAGTAGTGGCTCTCAAATCCGTTTGCCGGCACTGTATCTTACCGGAAGATCGATGGGTTGTCACAAGCGTGGTGGCTTGGGAAGTGACGGCTGGAAGCGCATGCGTGGACGTCGTGGGCTTCTCCCAGGCTGTGGAGGCATGGGGTGTGCCTAGAAGTGATCAGTAGTGGCTCTCAAATCCGTTTGCCGGCACCGTATTTTACCAGAAGATCGATGGATTGTCACAAGCGTGGTAGCTTTCACGATTGTCTTGGTCGAGGTGGTAGCCTCGATCGAGCCCGTAGCATCGCCGGGAACACATTGAGAGTACCAATCATTCTGGTACTGACAATGATAGCCAGACACACATGTCACAGCACCAGTCCAACCACTGCCACCACATCGCGCATATGCCGTACCTTCGGCTGCGCTGGCGGTTGCCATCAAGGTAGAGAGCGCTTTACCATAGCGAGTCATGGCGAGGACTTGTATATAGAGAAGGAAATGGAGTCAATAACCGCAGCACGTAATATGCGAAACTGCACAGCAGTGAAAAGAAGAAGGAGGGACTGAGGGTGAGTTGAAGATGTTGCAGATACAACTTGGTCCAAACCCGTACCTATGTAGACCTCCTTAGAGGAACGTGCTGTTCGATTTCGTCGTCCATTCGACTTTGCAGTGTGCTCTAGAATCGTGTCCAACACAAAGAGCATACGGCTATCCGTGAGCATAATTTCGGTAATTGTCTGAAAGCGATCAAGAGCAGAACGGTATCTTCTGCAACAGCCAACTGTACCCACAGTCGGGCGTATTAGGTCGAAATTTGCGGAACTGTATCCACATTCTTAACAAAACAAGCTTTTCTGACCGGAGCTTGGGAAGCTTGAGAAGCTTGGGAAGCTTGAGAAGCTTGGGAAGCTTGTCTACCGACCGGACGAACATTTCCGTCAATTGTCCTGGAGTGCAGAGTCTTTGTCTTCGGAGAGTGGAACGGATCCTTCGCTGTAACCTAGCAACATTCAAGCTCAGCGTGGCAGTGGGTAAACTTGTTTTCCATCTGCGAAAGACGAACTATGATGGGCCTGACCATGAGCTTGAATGCACGCTGCTACGGTACGCGAAGCTCGCAGCTGGTTTGCTTACTCTCACTTCAATACAGGGGTTGAGTTCCGCATGCCGTTGCTCATGTCCGTGCCCCACCTTCTTGAAACACGGAAATGTTGAAACGACGGCTGTGCAAATTAGCGCCGGTCTAGCTGACAGACCACATGCCTTTAACATGCTCACGGCTCAATAATCACGGCGTGCTGTCAAATTGATCGCAGGGCAACTAGTTTAAGAGGACCTGGTCCACCTTGACTAGCGGGGAAGCCTCAAGTTCGACCAACTCAATCAAGGGCCTGTTTACTATCGAGCCATTTTCCGTTGCTCAATCCTTTCATACTGCAAGCGTAGCCCCTGAGCAGCGAGTGAATCAAGGAATCGCGCGGCTTTCCATAAAACGAGCCCTCGGAGGTCAAGTGTGAAAATCGCAGTGTTCGCATGAGAGAGAAGACTTCTCTACCGCTAGCGTAAGGGGGATAAGAGGAGAATTAAACATCTAAAAGTCACCCGTAGGGCGTTTTCGATTATCTGCATAAGATTGCCTGATTGCCCTCAGGAAGATCGAAGAAATCACAAAATCGGAACGAAGGTAGACAGGCCCCAGGTCAAACGCATGGTGGAGTTTGGTAACATGCAGACTGGACGCCGCCAAATTATAGAAGATCGGTTATCAGTAGGAAGGCCGTCTGCACGCCCATACCATAATCTTTGGAGACTGCAGGAAATCACCGAATTCTACATCGGGGGCACTGGGTTTGGCTAGAAGTTGGCAATATGGGCAAAGTCAGGTCCAGCTCTTCCTTGAACAGACCAGTTAGAGTAGACAGCAAGACTTTTGGCCGAGGGTTCACCGCAGGGTCCATGAAGTTGAAGGCGGTGAACCTACTAAAATTTCTGAGTATCGTTACGGCGCAATTTCCTATCGTTGATGTCATGGCTGCCGTCCTTAGTCTGATTGTTTGAGTTACATGAACTGCTATGAACGGTCAACACTTAGACAACCTCTATGCCAACTTTGCATCTCAAACGTATGATCGCAAGCGATACGGTGGTAGAGTGGGTTTAAAGGCAGACTTTAGATTGCAGCCTCGCGGCAGCTGTTCTAACTTCCCGGCCCAGCGTGGCGCACACAATGAAGTTATAGAAGCATCTCAAGCTGCGCGCTCTATTCAAGACTGTCCGCTTCGTACTCAGGATACTTAGGATCCGGACGATGACGATACGACCTGATGGATGTGGGATAGAGGGTGTTGGACGCGGAGTGTGGCTTGCTGAAGTTCCGAGGTGCTCGAAGCCGCCGATCATGCCGCTGATGAGTCCCCTCCTGCTACCGGTACGGTAGTCCAGATCACTACACAACCACACAGCGTCCCTTATTCACGCCGCCGGACCTTCTCGCTACAATATGTAATTACAATAACGCAATTTGTGCCCACGTTTGTGACCCAGCATCGCGCCTTTTGTAAAGGTGGACTTTACTATTCTCAACATGACGGCGTAGCTCTCCGGTTTTGTGCCGCAAAACATGGCTTGAGGCAAAGGTGCACCGGAGTACCCACATCGTTAGAGGACTACCTCCAAGCGAAACATATCAAATAATGCCGGGTACTCCAAATGCGGTGTGTCTAAGCCAATTACCAATCGTTATCACCCGGTCTTTGAAATGCTCCACCAAGGTCCGCATCTATTCCCGAGGCTGCAGCAATTTCGAATTGTAATAAAATCAGTGAGCAGAACAGAATGGCCCAGACCTATCATTATGATGTATGGCTAGGTCACAGGTGATGGTCGACTTGATCACACTAGCTGCCCATTGGGAGTACTTAGATGTGATGAACACTATGTGGATCTCAAAAGCTATAGCGAGTCGGTAACGTATAAGAGGCTATCCTGCTCATGTGCCAATGGATTCATTCGTAATCGATACTGGGCTCTTTGGTCCCTGTATTTCCCCAGTCCTCGCCGGCAAGCAACGTTGTGCGTTTCAGGGTGAAAGGGAGAGTGCAAGAAGTGTCAGACCACTGATGGAAGCGCACATTGTAGCTTCTCCAACTTTCGACTCTTGAAAAGCCCTTTACACTCTACCTACCTGCTAGGACTTGCTAAGAACCCCTTCGCCAGCATGACAAGCTCCACGGGTGGGCTTAACTATATCATAGACCGGTGCAAACAGCCATACAAAAGGCAAGCTCTGTTTCCAGCTGAGCGTCTAGCAGCAAGCTGACAGCATCTAGCCCTGAGCGTATTCAAACAAAACTGTCACTACTGCGACTGAATCTAGAGCCGTGGAATCGACTTTCTCAACGTCATGGATCCTAGGAACGAAATCATTTGATCCATTGGCTCCCGTCATCCTATGTAGTCTGATGCGAAGCCTCTAGCTGTATTTGTAGTCACGCGGCCCGCACGATGTTATCCAGCGCTCGACGCCATCTGCCTTCGATACCCTGGGATCGTGGAAGAAGGAGGTGGCTCGTTCTCCTTATACCCCGAACGCAAGGAGTGTCTAGATTCGGATCACACACGAGGCTGAGGACGGACTTGTAGGCACTTCCTGCTGAGCCATTCCTGACCCGCACGATTGATATCAATCTTAGACATCTACGGTTGTACGCGGCCCTACAAGAGGAAAAGAGTGCAGATACCACGGAGCGTGGCGAGATCAGTGATGGAGTTTGACCGCGCGAAAATAGAGATCTGAATGATGGCGCTTGGTAGGACAGCGTCTCGATGATGTATTGGGCTTGTCTTGGAGACCTCATTTTGGGCAACGTCTATTTTGATGGATCTCAACACCCGGGTCTGCTAGCTACCGTTTGTGTTATTTACTTTTACTCTGAGATATGCAAGGTCTAGTCAAAGCGTGATGTGATGCTAAAGTGTGGCCTCGAGATGAATTTGACGCCACTATCGGCAATCAACGTCATCAATTTATAGTCTGAAGTGAAGCAAGAGGTGAAAGACGCGCCAAGACAGTGTCACGCGCATGCTGCTGCCTTGAGAGCTCTTTCTTTCCGTCGACTTTGCGCAAACACCAGCTCACCCTCTGCCCCGCCGAGTACAACCATGGTCAACCACACGGATACTGCAACAGCGCATGAAGCAGCTGCGCATCGCCGCGGTAAGATGTGAGTGATAAGGCCGAGTATCTGGCGAAGAGGAACTGATACTGACGCCTGCAGCACCGAGCGCAACCAGCAGCAGTCGCCTCTATTGCGCCTGCCCCCCGAGCTGCGTGACATGGTGTACGCATACGCGTTCGATACCGCCCAGATTGACGCTGTCTCGATTGACCTCACAGATCCATGCAGCAAATGGAGGCCACGCGTCATCGAAACAGGTGGTCCGCTTCTTCTCGCGTGCAGTCAGACGTTTAACGAAGTTACGCGATTCAAAAAAACGTACCTTCACATACGTTGTCACGATATGGGTTGGTATTGCATCCCATGGTTGCCAGATGCAAAGCTCAACGCTATCCGGTCGATCACCTTCGAAGGACACATCCGGTCTCAGTGTATATATATAGCTGCTCTGGGGAGCAAGCATGCTCGCGGTCCCTGGGGGATGTTTCTTATGCGAGCCGAACACTCTCGTCAGCGAGGCAGCAAGCCTGCAGTGTACTTCCCGTCACTTCAGATCATCTACATAGATGGCATCACCGAGAATGCATCACCGACTGAACTGGTAAGAGAGATCCGGAAGAAGGACATCAGCATCCAAATCCGCTTCACGCAGGAGTGCGAGGACGAAAGCGTGAGTGTTTGCTTGTAATCAAACCAGAGCACGTCCGCTGACCCATCAAATAGGCTCGAATCATCCGGGCTCAGAAGGATATGGTCAGAGATCTATTTGAAGAATCCAAAGCCACACTCGCCATGAGGGAGGGTAAAGCAATTGCAAGAAGGCACTTAGCGCAGAGACGTTCGAGACAATAGGTTTGGGCAATCGGCTAGAAAGACCTGAAGCCACGCCACGAGGGAAGAGTAAGCAGCCGCAAACGGGCACTCGACGCAGATGTGTTCGGAGATAGGGAGGAAAAAGGCTTGGAGATGCGAAGTGGAGACGGCTACAACTCCAAGACCCTCAAGACCGTTGATCATGGAGCCGAAACGGAATCAAGTAGCATACTGCACAATAGTCATTATATATAATGCGACTACCTGCCGTTCCTCCTGCTCTCAAACCGTCTGACACTCTCCGCAACCCCAAATCCGTCCGCCAACAACCCCCCAACATCCTCCAACCCCAACCCGGCCGTCTCCGGGTAAACGCGCCACACGGTGCCCCAACACACGGCGCAAACGCCGGCATAGCACACAAATGTGCCAGTCGGGGTCAACAAGTCCATCATGGGGAGAAACGTCAGCCCGACAATCGTGTTGCAGAACCAATTTGTGCTCGTCGCGAGCGCACTCCCCAGCGCGCGCACAGACAGCGGGAACAGCTCTGACTGCTGCCACGGCACGCAGCCCAGTCCCACCGCGTACGATGCCACGTACACGACCATGCTGAGCAGGATGAGCAGCGGCCACGCGCTGCCGTGCCCGTCCTTTGCGTCCGCGGATCCAGCGGCGCTTAGGTCGAAGAAGTGGAACGCCACTGCGCACAGTGACAGCCCTGCGCCCATGACGGGCACGCTGAGAAGTAGGATGCGTCGCCGGCCGATGCGGTCGATGCACCAGAACGCGACGAGAGTGGCGGCGAAGTTTGTCAGCGCGATGGACAGACTGGTGAGGGTAGGCGAGCGGAAGCCGACGAGCGAGAATATCGTGGCCGAGAAGTACATTAGGCTGCGCTGTTAGCTGGCGGATCTGTGTAGGTGGGATTCGGGATGGAGACGCACCTGTTGAAGCCGCACAGTTGCTGGAACGCCTGGAGCATGCACGCGATGGCCAGCGCTCTGCGATTAGGGCCCACAGCAACGAGGTGAGCGAACTGCTCGCGCACACGCCCCGCCTTCGCGCGCCATGCTGTCGATTCCGCACTCGTCTTGCTGGTGCCGGCTAGCTCCTCCTCCATAATCTCCCTCTCAACCCGCCTCAGCACCATGCCAACAATGCCCTCCATCTCTTCCTCCCCGCCGTAGACCCGCCTCAACACGCCCCTCCCCTGCGCCACCCGTCCCTTCTGCACGAGAAACCGCGGCGTCTCTGGCATCCCCGTCAGCAGGCCGAGCTGCAGCACCGCCGGCAGCGCGCCCAAGCCCACCATCCACCGCCACCCGCCCGCGCGCTCGCTGAATGCCCAGCCAGCAAGATACGCAACGACCTGCCCCCCCGTGATGAACAGACTGCTGACCGTCACCAGCCGGCCGCGGAATGGCGCGGGGCTGAGTTCGCTGATGTACAGCGGGACGACGAAGCTCGCGCTCCCGACGGCAAGACCGACCACGGAGCGTCCTGCAATCATGCCCGGCACGCTGGTGGCCTGCGCTTGCAGGAGAGCGCCGATGACGAACAGCGCCGACGCGAGCAGGATGACGGGCTTGCGGCCCCAGCTGTCAGCGAGCAGGCCGGTGAGCGGGGACGCGAGGAGCGCGGCGAAGGAGGTGCAGCTTGTGATTAGGCTTTTGTCGAGGGTGGTAAGCGGGCGCGAGAGGTCTGTTGAAATGCTTATTAGGGTCGAGGATATCACGCCGGTACTGCGAGCGTCAGCGAGCGGAGCGAGTGTGAGGAGCGAGTGTGAGGAGCGAGTGTGAGGAGCGAGTATGAGGAGCAACTATAAGAAGCGAGTGCGAGGAGCGCGCATGCATAGCCAGCGCGCAAAGCGTCAAGCGCCCGCAGTCCTCTGGTGGCTGCCAGGAACGACACGTAAGAAATCAGGACTTCAAGAGAGAGAAAGAGCGAGAGAAGAAAAGAAAGAGAGAAAGAGAGGGGGAGAAACATACTCATACCCAAACAACAACCCACTAATCCCCGCGCACAGCGTGAGACACCAGATAAACACCCCCGGGCCCGTCCCGTGCATATCAGCCTCTCCTTCCCCGTGCACATCCTCTTCCTCTTCCCCTTCCCCGTGCCCAACCTCTCCATCTCCTTCCCCACCATCCACCCCGTCGCCGCCGCGCTCAGCCCCAATCAGCCCAGCGCGCTCACTCACACCCCGACGCTGACTCAAATCACTCATAGTGGACGCTAGGTATCCCAGTCTCGAGCGGCGGTGAGTTGGGTCGCGACTATCCAGACGCCATCGCGCGCTGCTAGAGGTGTTGCTCAGTCGAGTCGAGCGCGGCCTTTGTATCGATGGCGTGTCGTCGGCGCGCGGAGCGCTGGCGGGCCGTGCTGCACGCCTGCTGGAATCCGGGGTGCGCGTGGCCCGTGCTAGCGCATCGTTCGCGTCGCATCACGGACAACGCGGCAGAACACGAGCATAATAAAACGGAGGCACAAGTGCGTGTCCACGCCAGTTGATTGAGAGGGAGAGCAGCGCACCGTGTGCGGGACTGCGGCTAGCTATGGACTCTACGAGTAGTGTTGGTCTGTCCCTCTCCGCCCGGTGCCCCCCCAACGTCGCCGAAGCTGTGCGTGACCGCCAGCAGAGGCTGCGGACGCGAGCGGCGCTGGGCCACCGAGCTGGGCGCCTCCGATACATATACTTAACACACGCGACACTTTTTGACGCCAGCCGTGCATCCAACGCCTATCGCTAATGCGGGACATGCTCACGCCGTGTGTGGAAACAACGGGTCTCTTTCGGTCGACCATGCCGCGGCCCACTGTTTTGTTGAGGTCACCAAAGGTTCATGCGGTCCTCAAAGGTTCATGCGGTCCTCATTTTGGCTCCTCCGCATTCTCGGCGACGTGGTTGGCGGGACCCGTGGGCGGACCCTGGTGCTGGTGCTGCGAGTGCTGGTGCATCATCGGCTGGGGCGCGTAGCTAGCGCTGGGCGTGCCGCGGTGGGCCTGGTGCGGGAACTGGTGCTGCTGGTGGGGCGAGCCGTACTGTGGCTGGTGCGGCTGCGGGTAGGGGCCGCGCATGGGTGTCACTTTGCTTGGATTAGCAAAAGATAACCGACTTCGGGGGCTACCTACTCGATCCAGGTGGCATCTGGTACATCTGCGGGCCCTGCGCGCCGGGTTGCATGTACATCATAGGAGGCTGCTGGTGCCCCTGCTGCGAGCCCTGGTGGCTCATCATGGGCGCTCCCGGGCGAGGACTGGGAAAGCCGTTGGTGTTGGGAGGGTAGCCGGGGTGTTGCGGGTATCCAGGAGCTTGCGCGTACATCTGCATCTGGGGCTGGCCAGGCATGCCCATGTAGGGCCCGCTCGAAGGGTTCTGCTGCATCATGTGTCCGCCCATCTGAGGTCCAGGGCCGTTAACAAACTGTCCCTGCGGGCCGCGAAGCGCAACATGCTGCATGGCAGGACTCATGCCGTACTGCTGAGGGACCTGCATCTGCTGCGGGTAGCCGGGCATGGGCTGCGGCTGCGCACCGTAGACGTAGGGCGGCATCTGGCGGGGCGAGGGCTGGACGGAAGAGGTCGAGTGCGAGAACTGCATGTGCGGGGCTTCAAAGGGAGGGCCCTGTCCGGGGTGAGGCTGCACGTGGGGGCCTCGCGGCGTGTGCTGGGGAGTGTGCTGCATGCCCTGAGGGCCCTGCAGATGTGGCGGCAGCTGGTGCTGGTGAGGCATGGGCCCGTTGGGCATGCCGTTGTGAGATGCCAGGGTCTGCGGAGGAGGGGCGTGCTCGAACAGCTCCTTGTAGCCCTTGTCCTTGTTCGACTGCGGGAAGTCCCAGGTGGGAGGCGTGCGATGCGAGAAGGGGATGCCGGCGTTGTGCTTCTTGTCGCCTTCAATGGCCGACTTGGCGAGACGGTCGAAGGGGCTGAAAGCCTGCTTCAGGTCGACATTCTTCAATGTCGGGCGCTGTCCGCCGAAGAAGCTTGTGATGGCAGGCCTGCGGGGCTCCTGCCTAGACGCTGCCGAGTCGGGCCTGGGGCTCGAGGCAGCGCTGGCGTTTCCACCCGGTGTGAAGGTGTTTGCGGAAGGATTGGGCTTGAACTCGTTGGCTTGGACGTTGAATCGAGCGTTGGAGGCAGGCGTCTGGACACCGCTGGCGGTCTGCGAAGGACCAGACGGGACGCGCATGTCTTGTGTGGGGACTGGCTGGGCAACACCATTGTGCGGGGGGCCGCCCTGCTGCTTGTGCTGCTGCTGATTTATTTGGGAACGCGTGCTGAACACGCCATGGTTGCGGGCAGGGTTCTGGGCCGGAGCCTGGTGCGAGCGATCCCGCATGCTGGCCGATTGGTAGGCGGATTGCCCGGGGCGAGGACGCTGAGCTTGCTGGCGGTCGCTGGGAGATGTGCTCGGGGCGTCGGGCTTGGTCGCTGTTCCCCGCGCGGCTGCTTTCGGGTCTGAGACGGCGCTGGCTGTCTTGGGAGGCGAAGCCTTGGTCTCTGCAGCCTGCTTGAGGGCCTTTTCTACAATCGCAGCTTGCTTTGTCTCGTCTTTGGCGAGGATGGGGACAAGGTCGGTGGGGACAGGGGTGCTCAGTTTGAAGTTGAGAGCAAACTTTTTCAAATCGTTCAGTTTGACAGCCTTGTTCTCGCGCGCAATGCTCCGTTGTCGCTCAGACATGCGCAGCTTCTCTGCAGCCGAGAAAGCCTTGAACGAGTCGAGGAGATCGTGTTCGACGTTGGTGGTGGCGTCGTGCGGCTTTGCAGCCTTGCGGGGGGGAATTGCTGCAATCGCCGACTTCGCCGCCGAGGCTGGCTTCTCCGCAACGGGCTGAGCAGTGGTGGGCTTCGTCTCGGTCTTGGCAGCCGCTCCCTTTGGGGCCTCTGGCTGAGAGGGTACTGCTGTCGCAGGTACTACTGTCGCGGGTGCTGCTGTCGCGGGTACTGCTGTCGCGGGTGCTGCTGTCGCGGGTGCTACTGTCGCGGGTGTGGCGGGTACTGGGGTGGTCGGCTTCTCGGTGGTCGAGGAAGTCTGCTGCGCGGCCTTTGCTGCTGCCGAGTCCGGGCGTGCAATAGTGGAAGACAGTATTGCAGGGTCCACTGGCGCCCCTGGAACGGTCGCGTTTGCGCTTGGTGCGCGTCTCGCTGGGGGAGTGTACCTGTTGGCTTGGCCGCTAGACAGAGGTGAAAACTCTCGGCGGACACCGCTGTATCTGATTGATTGTTAGCCCCGTGCTCAGTCTCTCACTTGATCGCCGTACTTGTCCTCCTCGTCCAGACCCTGATCGTCCAGCGGGTTGTAGCTGCCACGCTCTTCGCGTATGTGCGAATTGGTCGCGGAGCTGGATTCGATCTCGCGGGCGATTCTATCGGCGCGAGCTGCCCTCTTCGCATACTCGGGGTCGCTGCGGTTGATGGCGGTGGTGTACATGGTCTCGTCGTAGTTGCTCTTCTTGCCGGTCAGGCGATCGTTGGTAGCGAACTGGTCCCAACCGCCCAAGCCTCCAGACCCTAGCTCCAGACTGGCATCGGCCTCGCCAAACTCGAATGCCTGGAGCTTGCGCTCGCGAAGCGCCAGGTTGCCCGAGATGTCCGCGTCGGTGCGGAAGGCGGCCGAGCCGTTCTGGCCCTTGGCTTGGGTCTTGTCGAGCATGACGTTGTTGACGTTGAAGTCGGCGACGTCGCTCATGTCAAAGGACATGACGTAGGACTCGCCCTGGCCAGCATACTCGTCGGCGGTCGGGCCATTGGGCTGGGCGCTGTCCGCGGGCTGCAGCTGCTTCACCATCTTGAAGACATAGCGCAGCTCGCTGGGGTCCAGAGAGGTGCCCGACAGCACGCCCGAGTACTTTGCGCCGTTCTTCAGTGTAATGGTTCCCGGCAGGCCCTGCGGCTGCGTTAGCGCTACTAGAAGCGAGTGTCTCAAGCGAGTGTGTCAATCGTGTGTGTGTGTGTGTGTGTGTGTGTGTGTGTGTGTGTGTGTGTGTGTGTGTGTG